GGATTGTTGAAGCATGTCATGTCAGAAAAATCCGTACAAGTTTCGCGTTTTGATGGATCCGAAACCACCAAGCGAACGTTCAACGAAGGCTTGGCTGTTATTGACTTTGCTGAACGTGTCTTTCGTGAAGCTAGAGTCATCGAGTGGCCAATAGATAACAAGCATGACGTAACTTTGGTTTAATCCTTGGTTTGATGATAACAACCTTACTGTTAATGGCAAAAAATGATCTCGAGCATTCGGCGGCTCAACCGTGGAGACAGAGGTCACAACATTTTCCTTCTCCGATTTTGATCGCAAGGTTCGAGTCGCGAATTTTGAGAAAGTTCATCGCACCATGAAATCGTAAGTCTCCAAGCCTCCGGTCGTTACAATTCTAACAGTGCTGCATATCGTGAAGGCTTACTCGGAAGTGCTACCGGGAAAACTACCGAAAAAGCTTCCACCTCATCGGCGTGTCGAGTTCGAGCTGACGATGCAAGCGAACGCCATCCCGAGCACTCGTTCGCCGTATCCTATTTCGCACACAGAACAAGAGACGTCCCCATTTTTGGCGAAGATAAGCTTTCAAAAGGCTGTATTGAAGTTATAGACTCTCCGTGGGTATCGAGCATTTTTAGCATTCACAAAAGAAAAACCCCAATTGGATCCGCGTTGTCTCGTGCAGAATGGACTCGTTTGGGTGATGCGACAGCTCCAATTTAATGGGTGTTATCTCCATGTCAATTATCAAACTGTTGTATCAAAGATTTCTTACTAGAATCGATGAGCCGTTTAATCGGATGCAAGGTGTACGAATTTTTTCTGTCATAGACCCAGCGCAAGGGTCCCACCAGATGCATGTCTATCCGGACAACAACAAAAAGTACACGGCCTTCCGCACAGCTAACAAAACATATCAGTGGTGTGTCAAGCCAATGGTTTAGCTGGATTGACTGGCGATTGGTCACGCTTGATTAGGGTTCCGGTCGGTAAATGAATAAGGTGTACTTGGACAAGATCTGTTTTTTCCAATCTATCGATGAGCATATCCATCACCTCAAATTTTTCCAAGTTCTTCACGCGTAAAGCTGTTTGATCACCAAAAAAAATGCAGGTTTGACCTACGCAAGGTAAATTTTGTCTTCCGCACGGTTTCCCATCACGGCCTTGCGGTCGACAAGTCCAAGGAATTTGCGATCGCGAGCTGGCCAACCCCACTCACAAAAATGAGCTGCAGAGTTTTCTCGGCCTCGCCGAGGTTTATCGCTGCTTTATGTTGAGCTTCGAGTTGCAAATTGGATGTTGAAGATGAGAGTTGGTTGTATGAGCCAAGATGATCGTTGGAATATTGGGTAAACGGCGACGGGGCCAAACCGACAGATGGAAGGCGACAGGGCCCGTGTGACGATAGTGTCGGTTGTTCTCGTAGTAGGGAGCAGTTAGTGATGCACCAACAGGAGTAGCCAAGGTGCATCTTGTTTGTACAATCTTAGTTCAGTTGTGAAAACACACTCCAGGGCTCACATCTGCTTCCAGTTCCTTCCTTCGATCAATTTAACAGGGTTATGAGCCAAAAGGACACGGAAAATTCATCGAAGAAAATGTTGAAGCAAAAGTACACGAGCGAAGGAATTCCGATCGAGTGGGATGGGTGTGACTGGCAGTTTTACAGGATAATTATACGAAATGTCTTCGAAGAGCAGAAGATGAGTGATATAATAGATGGGCGTTACGACAAGACAAAGCTTATGACGGCAGAAGGCCAAGAAGCTTACGATCAACTCCAGCTCAGGGCAAAGCGCTATATCTTTACAAGTTTATCACGTGACCTGTTGCATCAGGTGCGTGAACACAAGACAGCACCAGAACTGTGGAAAGCCTTGGTGGCTATCTATGAAGAAAATTCGGATCCCACTGTTCGTGGACACCGTGTCCGGCAGCTGGTTCATGAGCTTTGGAACGCAAAGCTGGAGGAAGATGGGAACGTAAACGCACACCTGTCGCGCATGTTTAACCTCCACACGGAATTAGCTGATCTCCAGTACATCGTCAATGAACTCGATATGCGAGAAGTTTGCTGTCAAGTCTACCTACAACGACGCAGTTTAACCAACTGCGACAGACTGTGTGGTTTGCAAGTGACTCAGCAGCATACAGTCCAGAGCAAATTCGCGAGCTTGTTCGCACAGCCGCCGCTCTTCATGAGGAGACCACAAGCGGTTTTTTTATTGGTGCCTAATGGGCGGGAGGCGTAAAGACGTGGAGTGTCAGCGCGACAAAAAAACCCGACAGATCATGGACAGCAAATGATACAATGCAAATGTACATCGCTACATAGGAATTTTTAAGGAGAAGAACTCCAAGAAGAGGTGTTTCGAGTGCGGCAGTAGTGAGCACCTCAAGAGGGATTGTCCAGATCGTGAAATTAAGGCGAAGGTGCAAATACGGTCGCAGCAAAAGGTGCCATTTGTCGTGAAGGCAAACGGAAAATGTCAACAAACCTCACGTACTGTGACGTGCTTAAGGTATTTGGAGAAGATCAAGACGTAGGGACACTGGAATTAAATTACGCGGACGAAGCTCAACAAGACAATGACTCACTTGCCGATAATATCAGGGTGCAGGAGTGGTAAATTGACACTGCATCCAAAACACATGTGGTCGGAGACAAGCGGTACTTTATTTGCTATCGGGAGCTCTCTCGTGATGAAGCAACCGTGCGTGGAGTTGCACCCATCATTCAGGAGAAACCAGTCGAAGTTGGAACGATCTTTCTTGAGACGTCTGATGCTGGAAAGACAGTACTTACGGTTGTTGACGACTTACTCCTCGTCCCTGGCGCAAGAAATCCGCTGTTGTCGATGGGGCGTGCGTTTGAAGATAAACTTAAATTTGAATGGGACATCAATGCGCACCGATTTACCATACTGAAAAATGATGAAACGGTGGCACTAGCCGACAAAATCGGAGCAGTCTGGGTGTTCGAGGGACATTATAGTTTAGGTAAACAGACCAAGCCATATCCAGAAACGCGCGTGATAAATTTGCGGCTCGAGATGGTGTTGGAGATCTGCAATTATGACACAAGCGTTTGGGCCACATGTGCCCTCAGTACATCAAGTTGATGGTTGACCGAAAGCTTGTTGACGGAGTGATGCTATCCGGACGTGACGTAAGAGATTGCGAGACGTGTCACTTGGCAAAGCAAGCACGGAAGACGTTTCAATAGAAGCTTGATCGACGCATTGTGAAGCCAAATCAGCTTGTATATGCAGATTTGTTGGTGCCAGGCGTAAATAGCGACACTCAAATTGATGCAGTTTTGGTGATCATGGATGCTTTCAGCAAGTTCGTTACAACGTACATGCTGCGAACAAAAGCAGCAAATGCAGTAGCCGCAGCGCTGAGACAATGCATTGCTTGGGTTGAACGACAAGCTCGTCGCCATGCAACCGAAGAAGGTGACGGAGAGCAAATTGCATATCCTGTTCGCCAGTTGCTAGCGGATAAAGGGGGAGAATTTGTTAGTACCGAGTTTACACTGGGGCTGAAAGATCGAGGCATCGAGCATGTACAGGTTGGACCTTCCAGCTCGCAGCAAACCCCCTGCGAACGTGTGCACAGAACTCAAATGGAGATGACGCAGAGTACGAAACAGCGTCGATTGCCAGCGCGTTTTTACGATTTCATCGTTCATGCAACAATAAGTACCTGCAGTGACGGATACAAAGGACTATCAACAGGTACTGTCAAGATCACGAAAAATCATGCGGAAGCACTACGATCTATACATGCACGCAAGTGGTGTGACGTAGAGTTACAGGAGCTCGAAGCACTGAAGACTAAACGAGTGCTCGCGGAAATTTCGCTAAAGGATGTGCTATCTGCGGCAAATATGTTGACGACGATGTGATTTATGCAGTAAAGACAAATGAGCAAGGAGAAGTGATTCGCTTCATAACACGATTAGTTGCTTCCGGTGACAAAAAGCGCAAAGATGTTAATTTTATTAAAACATTCGCACCGGTCGCTCGCATGGCGTCATTTCGGTTATTTGTGGCATTGTCAGCCTCATTGGGATTAATGATCTACAGCTGTGATGTCAATACAGCATAACTTAATGCAAATTTACAAATTCCACTGTACGTTAATCTTATACAAGGACATTTCAATGAGAACAACAAGACATTTAAAGTCAAGAAAGCACTGTACGGATTGCGGCAGGCTGGACGAGAGTAGAATTCTGAATTTGACAAATTTCTTCAGGCGCACAATTTCAAACATGAACACACATAGACGTGTTTATACGTACGGTGAAAGAGAAGAGTGGTGTGTCTGGCGTTGATTTACGTCGACGATCTCTTAGCAGCTACGAAGGAAATCGAGCAAAAAAACGAACTATTTCAGTTGCTGGAGAAGCAGTACAAAATCAAGGATCACGGGCGTGCTTCTCAGTTTCTTGGTGTTGAAATCATTCATAGTGACGCGAGCTTCACTATTATACAAACTCAGTATATACGCGAAGTGCTCGAGCGATTTGGATTAGTGGAAGCACGCAGAGTAGGAAATCCAGTGGGCTGAACCACACGACTCGTGCATGAGGACTGAAAGCCAAGTGACGAGATGGTGTCATTTCCTTATGGATAGAGGCAGCTGGTTCACTTATGTACCTAGCTACTTCGACTCGACCAGACATAACGTTTGCAGTCGGTTTGCTCAGTAGTTTCGCAAATCAACCGAGCAACAAGCGTGTTTGATCGGCGAAGCGAGTATTGCGCAATCTATCCAGCACTTTGAATTACAGTTTAACCTACCAGCGACAACATGGAAATACAAGCCAAATCATCATTGACGGATTCAGCAACAGCGATTGGGGAGGTGATCCCGACACGCGACGCAGTGTGACTGGTGTGGTATTTAATCTTGCGGGTGGTGCGGTGTCATGTCTCCCTCGATTGCAAAGTGTCGTTGCCCTAAGCACGGCTGAAGCAAAATTCATCGCAACATGTGAGGCAGCTATGAAATCAGCTTCGCTTCGCAACCTGGTGGAGGAAACGTTGTATGCGACACACAAGAGCATTGACGTGGACATAGGAGTCGATAAATCGAGCGCAATGACGCTGGAGCTGGACCCGACATTCAGCCGACGTACTCGCCACATTGAACTGCATTGGCACTACGTACGCGAGCAAGTTAGAAAGAACAAGATCATACTTCACAAGGTCACAACTGAAGATAATGCAGCGGATCTTCTTAAGAAGGCGACAAGTCCAGACCGGATTAAACACTTAAGTCAATTCATTGAGCTTATGGATGCGGACAAGTCAGACACTAGGAATGGCCTTCAGCATTGACCGGCGACACTGTACTATTCGACTGTGCAGAGCAAGCTATTTCGCGTCGAGGAGGGCCTGTTGAACTTCGAGTTGCAAATTGGATGTTGAAGACGACAGTTGGTTGTATGAGCCAAGATGATCGTTGGAATATTGGGTAAACGGCGACGGGGGCCAAACCGACAGTTGGAAGGCGACAGGGCCCGTGTGACGATAGTGTCGGTTGTTCTCGTTGTAGGGAGTAGTTAGTGATGCACCAACAGGAGTAGCCAAGGTGCATCGTGTTTGTATAATCTTAGTTCAGTTGTGAAAACGCACTCCAGGGCTCACATCTGCTTTCAGTTTCTTCCTTCGATCAATTAACACTTTTTCCAATCGCTCACATTTTTCTTCTCTTGAGTCGTTTCGTGAAATCGATTCGCCTTGGAATTGAAGTGTTGATCACGACACCGCGTTTACCCGCCTTATACAATCATTTCATCGTGTACCTTTCTTCAAGCTGGCCGACTACTCGCGGCCGTATTTGCTTACCACTGAAGCATTGTGTGCCTGTGAGGATGAGCTATTTCCAAATTCTACGAACATGATGATCATCCGATCGCATTTTATTCGAAAAGCTTTGATTTTTCTCAACCAATTGTCCGAAGCCCGAAAAATAGATATTCGAGATTAATTTGGGTCTGTATAAGTGGAAACATTATATCTAGCACCAAACACTTCGACATTTATACCGAAAAAAGCGCGTGTTCCTGGTTGATGCATCATCCAATGGTTTCTGCCAAGGTCGCTCGATTTTTGAATTTTGCTTAACTTTATTTTTACTATCCACTATGTCACTAGCATCCTGAACGTCATTGCCGATGCTCTCTCGCGCCGACCTGGTGATGAGTATCAGCAAAGTACTCAATTAAAATTTCATCGTGCACTCCGTCGTAAGCTTCTTGCTTTCGCCTACCAGCTACAACTCCATCTCTGCCGGGGCGGGCTCGTGAACCCTCTATTTCCAGTAATACGCTTGCAATTTCACGGGTAGATTGTCACCGGAAGCCGAACGTGATATTCAACAAGGTTATCGCTATTGTCCCGAGTTCACCATTCTTTGGAGCTAAACTGTACCCGGTTATAGTGACTATGTCAAGGAGGGCGATCCCTTGTTTATTGAATCTGCCATTAACGTCAAACAGCTATGCTGTAAATTTTCTTGAAAACAAAATTTAGGAATTTCAATTTTAACAATATTACAAGCTTGTAATACAGTTAAATTCTTATTAACTTAAGGATTTTGTCGACCACTGTCTTAAAAGATTTCCATCACGTTTTGTTAAACTAATGATAGTATTTTTTAAACTGGCAGTAATATATAAATTAGCTAAAATTAAAGGATTTTTTTAACTTTTTTTATTTTATATTTTTATGATTATATTTAAATTGACATAATTTTTATAAAAAATTTGAAGCTAATAATAAAATTTTGAAATTGTTTTGTTTCTAAAATAATTTCTTTTAAATAACATTAGATTATTATTATTTTATTAAAATTGTTTATAATATAAATTAAAAAATAGGATTCCTAAAAAGTAATTAGTAACTTTGTGCATTCACCAACAATCGGTTACGTTTTTATAACAATAAAGATCACCGTGATTCGCCGATTGCAGCACATACCGGAAATCGCCGCACGTTTCTTCGCACAGCCCAACAGTATATCTGGAAGTCGATGCAACATGACCTTAAAGAGTATGTAAACTCACGCAAAACCTGTACCCATTTGAAACGCGACAACCTACGTAAAAATGGGAATCTGATGCCGATTCCAATTCAAAACAATGCTGGCAAGTTGTAATCATGAACTTCATTACAGGGCTCTCAAAAACCGGCTGTATTAGACGCAATAATGACTGTCGTCGACAAGCTCTTCAAGCGAGCTAAATGTGCCGATGTACATACAAAGGACGAATCTACGGATGTGGCCAAACGCTTCTTTAATATGGTCGTTCGTTATCACGGGTTACGTGAAGTCGTCATCAGTGAGAGAGACAGCAAGTTCACGTCAAGCTTCTGGAATTCTCTGATGCGGAATGTGGTAAGTTAAGCTTAGTATGATCACTGCTCATCGAGCTGAAGCAGATGGACAAACGGAAAGGCATAATTTAGTTCTCGAAGACGCCCATCGATGCATGATTTCTTACCAAGATAGTAATTTATGTTCATAACCTAGAATTATCGTGTATGCCCATGCCACGCGAGTCAGTGCGTCTAAGGGATTCTAATCCTCTATCTCGATTCCGGACGGAAAGAACGAAAGGTTTGGGGGAAAAAAGTTGCGAAAGCAAAGTTCAAGGGTTTAGTGGGGTACAAAATAGATCTCGCAGAAGAAAAGCAAAAAAGGGATCACTTTTTAAGCCAAAAAAACTAAATAAGGCTCAAGAAACGCAAAAAAGGTAATATGGTCAAAAGCGTCGGATACACCAGATTGTGTTTAAGCAAGAAGTTTTCGTCATGATCGATACAGGTCGCATTCTACAAGATTATGCCGCGAAGGGTGCAGACATGAAACGAGCAAAGTTTGCTACACGCTAGATTGGACCGTTTAAGTTCATTCGGATGATCAATCAAGACGAGGCCAAGGTGGAACTTCCCCAATCGATGAACCGAATAAAATCTATGTTCTATGTTCACGTGCTATCACCATATGTCCCAAATCCCGACAAGTTTCTACGTCGACCTATACCCGAGTCTTCCAAGCTCGTCAGCGACGAATCATTGAACCGATTGCAAATTGTGAAGAAGTTGCTAAGAAACGTTAGTTTAATCAACAACTCGAATGGCTCGTCCAGTGGCATGGTGAAGCCAAACATGGAGCCACTTTAGTTTGCAAACGGAATTTTGTCACGTCTCCAATAAAATGAGCTCGTTGTCGACGCTTGAAGTTGACAACGAGAGCTTAAGTCCGGATGGACGTAAGGACTATGAGTACGTAAGACATGGAGGACTTTATGTATATTTTCAAAAAGAATCTATATACATTCATTTGCATACACTGGTCAAGACACAAAATTCTGAGGACAACGTCATTTTGCAGAAATTAGGTGGTCAGCAAGGAAGGGACGTACGTCACTTAACAACAAAAAAACAGGAAAAGAGCCGTTAGAAGAAACGATGTGGAGCGAGAAAATAATAGGAATTTTGAGTGGACAGAGGCTTTCCCCAAACAGCTGTAGTGGAGACATTTATAAAACTCTTTAAAATACACCTCCATATCTACAATTACACAAACACATATCGCTTAAAGCCCCAGTGCTTTCCAACGAGAAGATTGTAGCTTGTACATAAAATAACGGTAGGATAATTGGTCATTTATAAAGCACACAAACGCTTAAGATCTACCTTTAAAATGTATTATAAGTTGATTCGGACCTAGCATGTACATGTTCATTTGTAAAAAGGCATAACGCTTGAATAAACTCTCAGCCGGGCCCGATTGAGCGTAATTATAGAATTTACCGTTGTTCACATATTGACGCAGCAGATGCATCTTTGACATGGCCTTCGCTCTCCAGACCATAACCGCGCCACCCTTTTTACCTCCCTTTTTAAATCGTTCAAATTATGATGTTGCACTTGTATTGAGTCGCAAAGCAGCCTTCATCAGCAATGTCTTGTCGGGCTATCGTAAAGTAGCTTCCTACACATACGCGAGATACCGCACGACCTATACACGAAATCTCTTGTAAGATGGTAGTTCTGGAAGCTCCCCGTTTTTGTACAGATCTATCGCACTGTAATTAGCTGGTCGGTTGTAGAATAACACTGCTCGATGTATGCCTCGATCTGGAGATGAAATGATGATCCCCTTTAGCAAACGCCTAAACCTTACGCACCCGGAGCACAAATTGCGATATTAAAATGATCAGGTATCGTGATAGCTGCTCCTTTAATGGAAATGTCACAGCAAATGTTAAGTGCGCTGAGCTACCCGCGTGATGGCCAAATTCAGCTCCTGCTTACAGCCTCCACGTCCTGCTTAAAATGATGCAACATCAAGATACTGTCTTTATTATCCACAGCCGTTTTCGTTCATCTAAGCATCGGACCAATGCATTCGTACCACCAATCTTTCCAAGTGGCACCTATTAGTCCCTGATTTTGGCTATCACATTTCGAGCAACAACACAAAAAAAGATGATAATAAACAAAACACTGTGGATTTCACGCACGTTCAAACGAGTGCAGGTATATGAGTATCGTTTAGGAAGAAGCGGCACCATCAGATACATTGATCTTTACTTGACAAGAACGTGGTCAGTCAGATAAGTTTGTTCGTTTACTTTTATGTGACAGGAGATATGTGAGCAAAAATCGATCTTCGATTACGGTTGTGTGGCTACAATTTTCATTTTTAATAAGAGCCCAGATTCCACGTTATGTACCATGACAAATAGACAATGTGCATGATACGAATGTCACAATATTAAAAATGTAGGATTTCAGTACATGTAATCATCACTTCTTCTTTAAATTTGTTTAGTAGATCGGGTGAGATGTCAAATTTGGTTTCGAGTACGACGAGTCAATAGGTGGCAAATCCTCACTTCATCGCGTCTTATCTTACATATGAAGCTCAATATAACTAAGGTTTTGACTTGGATCTATTTCGAAATTGTAACAGGGCTAGAATAACCCGTACTTAGCTATCACTATTTTTAACGCTTTAAGGAAGCCTCAAAGCCCAAGTCTTAGGTGTTTATAATTTTAACTCTGTACTTATATTTTGTCTTTTAATCATCCTAAGTACGAATGGTTCCCTTGGACTCATGGGAATTACTCAATCTACGTGCCTATACCTTACTGACTAGTAATGAGACTGAGCCCATTGAACCAGCTATAATATACGACGTGCTACTTTCGCTACCTCGAAAGTAGCACCCCTACTTAAGTAACATGTAAACCTAATCGAAACTACTTATGTAACAAGGTGGCCCATTACAGAAATGATAATACCTCGTTCTAACTTTTTCACCATCTTCAATAAGCCGTTGGTGTCTAAAACTATGGAATGGGGTCGAGATCGAAAGCGCAACGCATTTTTTTAAACACTTGTATAACGTCACTATTCACGAATAGCAGCCACTGTGAAGAGAAGTGCACCGTCCACGCCCGTTCAGATAGACAATTCAGACTGATTCAGCAAAAATGCGATCGGAAACTAGGTACACGACTATCCATAAGGTGTGCCAATGCATTGAGTTGTCCCAGACCGTGACATAAGCCTATGTTCGTTGCCTTGCTGTTTCATCGATTTAAGTGCGCTGATGCATATACCAACGCGCTATGGTATTGTACATGCTTAAGACAATTGAGATCGTCCAGATAACCAGTTGTGCTTTGTATTAACATTTTTTACACCCTACCGCGACTACATCGACCAACAAAATCGAGGACAACGTGCTGTACAAGCGGATTCACTTCCTGGGATCTGATCATATTAGTATTGATTGCTTCGACTTTATTGCAAGTGTCATGGACAAGGATACCCGACCAGCAAACATGTGCAAACATTAAAAGCAGAATATACGACGGTTGATGTCCGGTGATATTCATTCAGGAAACGACCCCCTTTTCAACACAAAATTGACAAAAACGGTAATTTTTACATCGACACAACAATTTTTTGTACGAGAAAGCGCTCGTAAATACGCTGCTATCATTCTGTTTAATTTACTTGCGATGAAATTTTCTATCGTCGCTTTCTTTGCTAAGTGTCCACAAAAAATGGAGCGAGCGGCTGTGGTCCTACAGAATTTGTGTAACCTTTAGACCCTTGACCATTACTAGGTATACCAGGGTTCTTAGATGCGTGCTTAAAAAGACAACGTGACACAATTCACATCTAGCAATATTTCACTGATTAGTTTTTGCATTGTCCAAAGAATGTACCTGCTGGCGATATACCAAGATATCAGAGTGGGCATTTGCGTTATACCCACCTCCATGGAGATAGCCGTGATAATGATTGTGAATTTGACCGTGATGTGGCCGTGACTGTTGACTTGTTCATGACGATGAATTTTGTTTGTTGAAATATCTACGGTACCAGAATAGCAACACATTTGAACACACAAGCCTGCAGCTTTTCCTCAAGTGATGCTACACCTGATATCATGTATCACAATCAACCAGCAACATAAGTTTGTCAACTTCGTTTGCCTAACCGTTCCAGAGCTTGTATATTTCTTTCAAAGATAAGTCCGCTTTCTTAGCGTGTGCGCTCCAATTCAAATACACATGTCAATCACACGTACCTCACATTGGCAAGTACACGTGAATCAAAGTCTCCAAACTCTCTAATTATGGTTTTGTATATTTCGGTAATATGGCATTTCCCTATGGTATCGAAAGCAATACAATATTTTAATGTAACTAACATTCGCAAACGATCAGTACTCTCCACCTGTAACGGGGCACCCTGAAGCTTGTACTCATGACAGTACAAGCTACTTATTCTGACGACAGAATAAGGCGGTGCCTCGGAACTTCACGTACACTGGTACGTGCAGCGGAAGACGGTAAGAAGAAGCGAGTGCTTAGTTTAAGTAAAAAGTAGAACCGTATTTATCATAGTTAATGTCTGTTAATAAACCACTGTTTATCCTCATCTAACTATGTCTGAATACAAATGTGTACATCAACTATCTGCTCACCACTCATTGCGTGCGTCTGTCGTGGCGCGTCTTCGTTGGTTGATATAATGACCTATATCACCCAAATTAGGAACTACTTGGAAGTGCTACAGAATATTTTTCCTTATGACAATATTCTGAGAATATAACTCTTATAGTTATATTCTATTAACAATTTCTTATAAATTGTTATGTAACGGTTCACCCCGTTACATCACCCCCCCTAACAATCAGTCACTTTAGTGACTGATTGACTAAATGGATACTCGTCCCCAATCATTTGGGACAGGGTTTGCACTTGTTGGTCCGAGTCCACTTTCCAACAGTTCATCGCATGGTAAACAAGTCCCTGCAGTGCGCGAACAAGGCCGCTGAGAGCGCGTCTGCACGAATCTGTGCGGACGCCGAAGCAGAAACCGCTGCAACTGATGTCTCATCGGTTGCTGAAGCGTCTCAGTCTGTATCACCTGGTGATGCAGACGCTCGTCATAAAGACACTCACGTCTTCACAGAGTATGAGCTCGGTGTCTCATACTCTCCTGATACGGAAGAGGGATCTGTATCGAAGGCGACCGAATCCAATCCGCCTGCCAAGCGTGGCATGGATGATGCTGTGCGTCGCAGCATCGTTGGTTCATCTGATGAATCAGATGAACCATCGCCGAAGCGAAGGCGTTCGAGATCGCAAGACTCGGGCGCTCACAGTGGTGTCGGGTCTCCTATTGACACCACTTCGCAACGAGGTGCCAGTACTTCTGTCAGCACGTCGCAAGAAGAGCGGGACCGCAGTGTTTTGCGTCTCGCTCCCAAGAAGAAGGCATGGATGCCTCCCAAATCTGTCATGGATCACTTGTCGGCGACGACGAGTGATCGTTATCGAACACGATTGTTCAATTCATCAAGAATCCATCACCTTGACCCCAGTGCGAGAGACAATCACGCTGAGAATGAATTCTTTATCGATGCTTTCTTTAAACATCGATGGTACAGTGGGAATCACAAACGTGATGGTCCCTCACTGCTTCAAGCATGGAACGCTTACATCCATAACCTTGAGGATGTAGGTCGTGACGTTTGGAACGACAAACTTATCACAGCTCGTGATAAGTTTGAGAAAAGAACCTCGACAGGTGGACGGTATAAGCTGCATCGTCTGTCAAAGGAGGGTGGTTTACCCTGTCTTTCCTGGGGAGACCCGTGCCCATGTTGTGTGAACAACTCTGCACGAGCACCTAAGGAGGCTTACCTCCCTAATAGCCCGTGGTGGCGCGTACGTATCTACAGTGAGATGTACGAAGGGATTGACAACCTGAAATCCTTTACGACCGTGCCGGGAAGACTTTCTCCGGCGGTCCTTCTGCGGCACAGGATGTGCCGCGTCGTACTGCTCATCCAGACCCAGTACGTCAATCATCAGTTGGGAGCGGGGCTCCCAAGAAGCCCAGGACGGGGGATAGCCGCGCCACCGGACGAGATAACTCGTCCGACGTCCGTTCACGTCGCGGTGGTTCAACAGCTGCTCAACTAGATAGCGCTGGCCACCGCGAGAGTCCTCTAATGGAGGTAGAGGAGGAGGGAAGACGCTCTCCACACAATTGTGGGGATCCGTGTGTTCCCGAGAGCTTCTTTGATCGCGTAACGCAAGGGTTATGTGGCGACCTCGAACATGAGCGGGACAGGCGTCTCAAACTAGCGGACACTGTCTTCAAGCATCGAGCTGAGTTTGCCTTAGCTCAGCTTGAGAACGAGAGATCTCTGACATCTCTTCGTGACGAGCTACGGGTAGCTCGTGGGATTGTTGATCGGTCTCGGGATGAGATAACTGCTCTTCAGACCCTTGTTGATGCCCACCATCGGGAGCACAAGGCTCTCTGTGAGATGCTTGAGCGCAAGGGCGTTCTTCATCGGAAGAAACAGCGTACTGATGGTACGGTTTAAGCCGACCAACGTAAAACGTGGGATGCGTTCGCATCTTACGTGGTAACTCGATCGTGTATGCATTGCCTAGGCGGTGCAATACACGAAATGGGCCAATGTACTTGGGTAGAAGTTTACTACTACCCAAGTTAGTCACTACATGATTTGGTAGTTTAACCGTAGACAGTAGGACTAAGTCACCTTTATTAAATAAAAGAGTGTTTGCCCTTCCATTCTTGTCAGCGTTTTGCTTTTGCTTATCCACCGCTTCGGCGATGGAGTCTTGCACAAAACGGACTACCGTTTCACGAGCCAGTATGAACTCATCTGATGACTCGTTAGCTTCAGTGTGCTGTGAGCGCACTGCAGCAACAACAATCTTTTCTTCAGTGAGGGCTTCCGCACTCTCACTGGCATCATCTTCTTCGATATCGATGTTATCGATATCGGCATCAAACGCAATGACTTCTTCGTCAGAGCGTGATGAGCGTGAACCAAATCGGTTTTTGCTCGCGCGAGTCCCTCCCCCTTAAACCAGAGTTACACTCTAGTAAGGTGGGTACACGCGGATGGCGCAAGCCATTCACGTAAAACGGTGTATGTGTCGTGGACGCATGCACCGAGTTGTTGATGGCAAACTCTACCATCGGCAAGAACTCACTCCAACTCTTAAAGGAGTGTACGTATCCTCGAAGTATCTCTTCAAGGACACGATTGGCACGCTCCGTCTGACCATCTGACTCTGGATGATCAGATGTTGACATCTTCAAGCGCGTTCCGAGTGATTTGAACACGGAACGCCAGAAATCAGCAGTGAATCGTGGATCTCTGTCTGATACGAGTTCACGGGGCAACCCATGAAGTCGGAAGATGGTGTCAATAAAGACACAAGCACAGCCACTTGCCGTGATTGTCTCTGGTACAGCCACAAGGTGTACCATTTTGCTGAATCTGTCAACAAATACGAGAATACCCGTATTCCCGCGTGCGTCTTTGGGTAACCCGAAGACGAAATCCATTGAGATGGATTCCCAGCACTCAGCCGGAACCGGTAGAGGCTGTAACGGTGCACGCAGTGAAGGACTTGACTTCACTCGTTGGCAGACTTCGCATGCGCGAACATACTTTCGCACAAACTGATACTGGCGGGGCCAGTAAAAGTCTCGACTTACCGTGAGATATGTTTTCTCTCGGCCACGATGTCCTCCTATAGGAGCATCGTGATACTCGAACATGATCCGCAAACGCAGATCGGTATCATCAGGAATAACAACACGTGGTGTGTCACCAGTAACGGCTGTATAATACAGTAAACCGTTACGAGTAGTGTATCGATCTGATGCAGATCGATACGCAGACGATAATCGTTTCAACGATTTTCGAGATAGTTGTGAGAGATGTGTCAACAACTTCACAATCTCACCATCTTGGGCATACGCCCGCCTCACATGATCATATAACGTTGAAGATGGTACTGAGGACGTCATAATCGCAACAGTGGCTGTCTCACTGTTGGGTTTCACGACTAGTTCAAAGTCGGGCCGACGTTAGAGTGCATCAGCGACGACATGAAGTCGTCCTGGTTTGTACTCGACCGTAAAGTTGTATTCTGCAAAGAATGACATCCACCGCACCATTCGTTGTAAAAGGTGCGGGCTGTTCACTGCCGTGCGTAGCGACGCATGGTCAGTGTAAACAATGAAGGTTCTATCTCCTAATAGATAGACTCTGAACTTCTCGAGTGCATACTTCATGGCAAGGAGTTCCTTGTCATGCACTGGATAGTTCCGCTCAGCTGGTTGCAGCTGACGCGACTGATAGCAGACGACGCTTTCAATGCCTTCAAGATCGTACTGCATTAATGCACAGCCGATTGCGAAATCGCTGGCATCACAGACCACATGAAATGGCCTGTCCTGATCGGCAATGGCTAGGACTGGGGATTGGATCAAGCTCTGCTTGATACCATTAAAGGAGCGCTGACATTCAGCGTTCCATAACCAACTCTCGTTCTTTTTCAACAAACGAGAGAGGTGCACAGTCATCTCGGCGTAATTGCGTGAATGCTCGTGCAAATACGCCGCTAGCCCAAGGAATTTTCGAAGAACTTTGACATCAACTGGCACAGGCCAGTCGTTGATCGCCTTGATCTTTTCGGGATCAGGACGTACACCGTTCTTAACAACGATGCACCCACGAAGTGGTATTTCGCTTGCTGCAAATATACACTTCTTGAGGTTTGCATACAATTGATGCTTTCGCATGATTGTAAGAACTTGTCGGACGTGGTACCTGTGAACCTCAACGTCCGACTTTCCATCCATAGCTCGACTATGGATGAATACGTCACCGAAATAACTCGGCGCGAATTCTCCTACTGGTCTCAACAGTTGTGATACACATCTGTTGAACGTGGCAGGGCATTACTAAGCCCTTGTGGCATTACTAGCCATTCTTAGAGCATGCCGCTAGGCGTGCTCACTGCGGTGTGGGGTATATCCCGTTCTCGCATAAGGATTTGAAAGAAGCCATCCATCAAATCCATGGACGAAAAGATGGTACTCTTTGAATACCATCAATGATTACGTCCTTCCTTGGTATCGGCGTCCGAGCCGGTACCGTTGCAACATTCAACTTGTTAAACGCATGCACTAGTGTGTGCATGCACTATCCGCCACACTCCTGTTGCTTTTCGCACACAGAAGGTCGGAGAGCTATGTGGGGAAGTTGATTCCCTCACATGGCCCGCAGCTAAACGATCGGCAAAGAACTTGTCGATCGCAAGTACATGTTCACGAGGCAGTGGCCACTGCTTCGTGACACAGTACTTCGAGCCTGGTTTAAGCTCGACCTCGTGTCGAGTACATTTATCCTTCGGTAACTCGCACGGAACAGTTTCAGGGAATACATCCTTGAATTCAATCAAATCTTCGTAGAGAGGATTTATCTTGAGCGATTCCCACGATTGGGAGTCATATCGCTCAACTCGTGTCTTTTCATCGAGGACACTCTCGTTCATCGATGAACTACTGAGAACTCTCTCGTTCTCAGTGAACACTGTTGCTGACCTTATGTCGGCACACACTCGTCGTCAGCGACGAGTACGCAGATCTGCTTGACTTTGCCACTACGCAGATCACGCAAGAACCTTTTATGTTCGAGCGTTGTTAACTGAGTGATCTCCGAAGTCAACTTCGGAGGCGCAATCAGATCAAGTGTATAAGCGCCTACACTTGATCCGTTGTTGACTATGACATTCAATGTCTCTGTCATTTCCTGGGGACTTATTCCCCCAGGCCTCGAAGGACTCATTCCTTCGGCTTCCCGTGGACTTCTTCCCGCGGGTTTCGGGGAGCTTATTTCCACCGTATTTGTAATATCGGGGCTTATTCCCTTAACTTCCTCCAGCTGTGGTTGCGCAATCACAGCGAGATCCTCTACGAAAGACTCTTCAGTCGATCTAGGATTATCGTTTCGCTTAACCTGAGTGATCGATTGTTTCTCTTCTAGATGTTCCCCGCTAGGGATACATCTTTGTCCCGGTCCACTCGACTTATTCGGGTGGTGGACCTTCGGCGCAGCCTGTGTTTCCTCACAGCCGCCGGAACTTTGCTCCGAAGTGTAACTGTTTGTTACACTAAGGTTTTGTGCAGTCGTACTAACGACCGTACCACAAGTGAGGCCATCGCACTCACTCGTAGTACATCTACACGCTTGTGGACGCTCCAAAACTTTCATCAGATGGCCATCTGATGAACAAGCGGCAGGCATCGTTACTGTTCGATGTTGCCAGTTTACTCGTGGTTCGTACCTTCTGAGCCACGGTATTCCAAGGATGACATCAAATTGTCATCCAAATCCAATACGACAAAGTCATCATCATACTGGGTATCTTCTAGAGTATAGTGAATCTTCACTATACGTTTCATGACGGTTACGGATGCGCCTGTCGCATGACGTACCGTCATCCTCGTAGGAGGTGTGTCACATTCACTGAACTTAAAGTGACCATCTTCTAGCGATTGGCGTCGCACAAAATTGTTGGACGCCCCACAATCGACTAGAGCTCGAAGGGACAACTTATTTGTCACTTCGAGTTTCAAGGTAATGAGTGAGATCTCATTACCTAGAGCAGCAACGCACAACGTTTGTGTGTTGGGAGCAACCTTCATCAAGAGGCCTACAAATTCTCTTGACGTTGCTGGATCAGTAGGTTGCTCCGCACCTACTGATCCTGTCCGTTTTTTGACGGTCCATCCCGTTGTTGCGTCTTTGCACCAACAGCGGACCCGCGTCCCTGCCCCTTTCTCATGGGTGGACGGTCACTACGCCCAGTGTTGCGAGACACTGGACGAGGGGCACTACACTCGTAAGCGTAGTGTCCTGTCTTTTGACATCTGTTGCATTTCTGAAACTTCTTGTAGTCTGTAGAGTGAGCCTTCTCGTTCTCTACATAACAGAGTTCCATCGGCTCTGGATCTCCACTGTCATATCGTCAACCGAGACGATATGATGTCGAGCTGGCGCGAGCCTGTCTCAGACTGAAGTCTTCCTGCTCCGCAATGGAAATGGCTTGTTCTAGTGAATCTAGTTCAAGTCGGAATAGGTGAGTCTTGACGGGACCATCCGCAAGACCCTGCATTAACACGGAAATAAACGTGTGTTCATCAACCGGGTTGGAACTTGTACAACTCGTGAGATGTCGCATATGTTGTGCGTAAGCGTGCACATCACGCTTGCCTTGTTTGAGCTTCAAGAGTTCAGTTCGAGCTCAGAACTCAGCTCTAGGCGGTTCAAACGTTTTTCTGAGCCGCGACTTGAAGACTTCCAACGACCCAAACGCACATGTGTCGTGAAACTTGAGCTCCAATGCCCAAGTCTTGGCACGTCCTGCCAGATTTGACTGGGCAAATGCAACTTGCATTTCCCCGTCGTCGATGCGACGCGCCCTTATGGCGTCGTCTAATTCGACAAACCATCCCAAGAGGGAGTCCTCTTCGACTCCCCTATACTTAGAGATGTCAATCTTCAAGGTTTCGGGTCGATGCACTCGCGTCGACCCACCAGCAGCAGCCTGCTGCTGTCTCAACAGTTCAAACTGTTGAGCACCTTGTTCTCTCAACAACTCTGATTGTTGATAACCTTGTTGGTGAAGCAAGGCTACTTTCTCGCGTTCAGCGTCAAGTTTATTCTGAATGAACTTGGCGATAGTAGCATGTTGGGCATCTCTATTGAGAGCCTCTAGCATGACGCTAACAGCATGGATGCCCATGGTTGAACCCATCCGTTCAACAGCATCTGATTCGACATCGCTTAAATGGGAGTAGCCGTCACACGTAGCGTGAAAGCTTTGATCATCTTCATCATCTAACATGTTCATGTTAGTTGTGAACGTGGTCCTTGGACGGACTACGAAGTGCTACCAGGTGTAACGGGGCACCCTGAAGCTTGTACTCATGACAGTACAAGCTACTTATTCTGATGACAGAATAAGGCGGTGCCTCGGAACTTCACGTACACTGGTACGTGCAGCGGAAGACGGTAAGAAGAAGCGAGTGCTTAGTTTAAGTAAAAAGTAGAACCGTATTTATCATAGTTAATGTCTGTTAATAAACCACTGTTTATCCTCATCTAACTATGTCTGAATACAAATGTGTACATCAACTATCTGCTCACCACTCATTGCGTGCGTCTGTCGTGGCGCGTCTTCGTTGGTTGATATAATGGCCTATATCAACCAATTAGGAACTACTTGGAAGTGCTACAGAATATTGTCCTTATGACAATATTCTGAGAATATAACTCTTATAGTTATATTCTATTAACAATTTCTTATAAATTGTTATGTAACGATTCACCCCGTTACATCACCCCCCTTAACCATCAGTCACTTTAGTGACTGATTGACTAAATGGATACTCGTCCCAAATCATTTGGGACGGGGTTTGCACTTGTTGGTCCGCGTCCACTTTCCAACATCTCATCGCATGGTAAACAAGCCCATGCGATGCGCGAGCAAGGCCGCCGAGAGCGCGTCTGCACGTCTCTGTGCGGACGCCGAAGCAGAAACCGCTGCAACTGATGTCTCATCGGTTGCTGAAGCGTCTCAGTCTGTATCACCTGGTGATGCAGACGCTCGTCATGAAGACACTCGTGTCTTCACAGAGTACGAGCTCGGTGTCTCGTACTCTCCTGATACGGATGACGGATCCGTATCGACGGCAATTGAATCCAAGCCGCCTGCCAAGCGTGGCATGGACGATGCTTTGCGTCGCAGCATCTTTGGTTCATCTGATGAGTCAGATGAACCATCGCCGAAGCGAAGGCGCTTGAGGTCGCGAGACTCGGGCGCTAATAGTGGTGTCGTTTCTCCAATGGACACCACTTCACAGCGAGGTGCCAGTACTTCTGTCGGCACGTCGCAGGAAGAGCGGGACCGCAATGTGTTGCGTCTCGCTCCCAAGAAGAAGGCATGGATGCCTCCCAAATCTGTCATGGATCACTTGTCGGCGACGACGAGTGATCGTTATCGAACACGATTGTTCGATTCGTCGAGGATTCATCACCTTGACCCCAGCGCGAAAGACTATCGCGCTGAACATGAGTTCTTCATCGATGCTTTCTTCAGACATCGATGGTACAGTGGGAATCACAAACGTGATGGTCCCTCACTACTTCAGGCGTGGAACGCCTACATCCATAATCTCGAGGATGTAGGTCGTGACGCTTGGAACGACAAACTTATCAAAGCTCGTGATAAGTTTGAAAAGCGAACCCCGACAGGTGCACGCTACAAGCTGCATCGTCTGTCAAGGGAGAAAGGATTACCCTGCCTCTCTTGGGGAGACTCGTGCCCATGTTGTGTGAACAACTCTGCACGAGCACCTAAGGAGGCTTACCTCCTTACCAGCCCGTGGTGGCGCGTACGTATCTACAGTGAGATGTACGAAGGGATTGACAACTTGAAATCCCTTTACGACCGTGCCGGGAAGACTTTCTCCGGCGGTCCTTCTGCGGCACAGGATGTGTCGCGTCGTACTGCTCGACCAGACCCAGTACGTCAACCATCAATTGGGAGCGGGGCTCCCAAGAATCCCAGGACGGAGGAAAGACGCTCTCCACACGATCATGTGGATCGGTGTGTTCCCGAGAGCTTCTTTGATCGCGTAACGCAAGGGTTACGCGACGATCTCGAGCATGAGCGGAATAGGCGTCTCCAGATGGTGGACACTGCCTCGAAGCATCGAGCTGAGTTTGCCTTTGCTCAGCTTGAGAACGAGAGATCTCTGACATCTCTTCGTGACGAGCTAAGGGTAGCTCGTGGGATTGTTGATCGGTCTCGGGCTGAGATAACTGCTCTTCAGACCCTTGTTGATGCCCACCATCGGGAGCACAAGGCTCTCTGCGAGATGCTTGAGCGCAAGGGCGTTCTTCATCGGAAGAAGCAGCGTACTGATGGTACGGCTTAAGCCGACCAACGTAAAACGTGGGATGCGTTCGCATCTTACGTGGTAACTCGATCGTGTATGCATCGCCTAGGCGGTGCAATACACGAAATGGGCCAATGTACTTGGGTAGTAGTTTACTGCTACCCAAGTTAGTCACTACATGTTTTGGTAGATTAACCGTAGACAGTAGGACTAAGTCACCTTTATTAAATAAAAGAGTGTTTGCCCTTCCATTCTTGTCAGCGTTTTGCTTTTGCTTATCCACCGCTTCGGCGATGGAGTCTTGCACAAAACGGACTACCGTTTCACGAGCCAGTATGAACTCATCTGATGACTCGTTAGCTTCAGTGTGCTGTGAGCGCACTGCAGCGACAACAACCTTTTCTTCAGTGAGGGCTTCCGCACTCTCACTGGGATCATTGTCTTCAGTGAGGGCTTCCGCACTCTCACTGGCATCATCTTCTTCGATATCGATGTTATCGATATCGGCATCAAACGCAATGACTTCTTCGTCAGAGCGTGATGAGCGTGAACCAAATCGGTTTTTGCTCGCGCGAGTCCCTCCCCCCTTAAACCAGAGTTACACTCTAGTAAGGTGGGTACACGCGGATGGCGCAAGCCATTCACGTAAAACGGTGTATGTGTCGTGGACGCATGCACCGAGTTGTTGATGGCAAACTCTACCATCGGCAAAAACTCACTCCAACTCTTAAAGGAGTGTACGTATCCTCGAAGTATCTCTTCAAGGACACGATTGGCACGTTCCGTCTGACCATCTGACTCTGGATGATCAGATGTTGACATCTTCAAGCGCGTTCCGAGTGATTTGAACACGGAACGCCAGAAATCAGCAGTGAATCGTGGATCTCTGTCTGATACGAGTTCACGGGGCAACCCATGAAGTCGGAAGATGGTGTCAATAAAGACACAAGCACAGCCACTTGCCGTGATTGTCTCTGGTACAGCCACAAGGTGTACCATTTTGCTGAATCTGTCAACAAATACAAGAATACCCGTATTCCCGCGTGCGTCTTTGGGTAACCCGAAGACGAAATCCATTGAGATGGATTCCCAGCACTCAGCCGGAACCGGTAGAGGCTGTAACGGTGCACGCAGTGAAGGACTTGACTTCACTCGTTGGCAGACTTCGCATGCGCGAACATACTTTCGCACAAACTGATACTGGCGGGGCCAGTAAAAGTCTCGACTTACCGTGAGATATGTTTTCTCTCGGCCACGATGTCCTCCTATAGGAGCATCGTGATACTCGAACATGATCCGCAAACGCAGATCGGTATCATCAGGAATAACAACACGTGGTGTGTCACCAGTAACGGCTGTATAGTACAGTAAACCGTTACGAGTAGTGTATCGATCTGATGCAGATCGATACGCAGACGACAATCGTTTCAACGATTCTCGAGATGGTTGGGAGAGATGTGACAACAACTTCACTATCTCACCATCTTGGGCGTATGCCCGCCTCACATCATCATACAACGTTGTAGATGGAACTGAGGACGTCATAACCGCAACAGTGACTGTCTCACTGTTGGGTTTCGCGACTGTTTCAAAGTCGGGACGACGTGAGAGTGCATCAGCGACGACATTAAGTCGTCCTGGTTTGTACTCGACCGTAAAGTTGTATTCTGCAAAGAATGACAACCACCGCGCCATTCGTTGTGAAAGGTGCGGGCTGTTCACTGCCGTGCGTAAGGACGCATGGTCAGTGTAAACAACGAAGGGTCTATCTCCTAATAGATAGACTCTGAACTTCTCGAGTGCATACTTCATGGCAAGGAGTTCCTTGTCATGCACTGGATAGTTCCGCTCAGCTGGTTGCAGCTGACGCGACTGATAGCAGACGACGCGTTCAACGCCTTCAAGGTCGTACTGCATTAATGCACAGCCGATTGCGAAATCGCTGGCATCACAGACCACATGAAATGGCCTGTCCTGATCGGCTATTGCTAGGACTGGGGATTGTATCAAGCTCTGCTTGATACCATTAAAGGAGCGTTGACATTCAGCGTTCCATAACCACCTCTCGTTCTTTTTCAACAAACGAGAGAGGTGTACAGTCATCTCGGCGTAATTGCGTGAATACTTATGCAAATACGCCGCTAGCCCAAGGAATTTTCGAAGACCTTTGACATCGACCGGCACGGGCCAGTCGGTGATCGCCTTGATCTTTTCGGGATCAGGACGTACACCGTTCTTACCAACGATGCACCCAAGAAGTGGTATTTCGCTTGCTGCAAATATACACTTCTTGAGGTTTGCATACAATTGATGCTTTCGCATGATTGTAAGAACTTGTCGGACGTGGTACTTGTGAACCTCAACGTCCGACTTTCCATCCATAGCTCGACTATGGATGAATACGTCATCGAAATAACTCGGCGCGAATTCTCGTACTGGCCTCAACAGATGTGATACACACCTGTTGAACGTGGCAGGGGCATTACTGAGCCCTTGTGGCATTACTAGCCATTCCCAGAGCATGCCGCTAGGCGTGCTAACTGCGGTATAGGGTATATCCCGTTCCCGCATTAGGATTTGATAGAAGCCATCCATCAAATCCATGGACGAAAAGATGGTACTCTTTGACATACCATCAATGATTACGTCCTTCCTCGGTATCGGCGTCTGAGCCGGTACCGTTGCAGCGTTCAATTTGTTAAACGCGTGCACTATCCGCCACCCTCCTGTTGCTTTTCGCACACAGAAGGTCGGAGAGCTATGTGGGGAAGTTGATTCCCTCACATGGCCCGCTGCTAAACGATCGGCAAAGAACTTGTCGATCGCAAGTACATGTTCACGAGGCAGTGGCCACTGCTTCGTGACACAGTACTTCGAGCCTGGTTTAAGCTCGACTTCGTGTCGAATACCTTTATCCTTCGGTAATTCGCACGGAACAGTTTCAGGGAATACATCCTTGAATTCAACCAAATCTTCATAGAGAGGATTTATCTTGAGCGATTCCCATGATTGGGACTCATATCGCTCAATTCGTGTCTTTTCATCTAGGACACTCTCGTCCATAGATGAACTACTGAGAACTCTCTCGTTCTCAGTAAACACTGTTGCTGACCTTATGTCGGTTACATACTCGTCGTCAGCGACGAGTACGCAGATCTGCTTGACTTTGCCACTACGCAGATCACGCAAGAATCTTTTATGTTCGAGCGTTGGCAACTGAGTGATCTCCGAAGTTAACTTCGGAGGCGCAATCAGATCAAGTGTATAAGCGCCTACACATGATCCGTTATTGACTATGACATTCAATGTCTCTGTCATTTCCTGGGGACTTATTCCCTCAGGCTTCGAAGGACTTATTCCTTCGTCTTCCCGGGGACTTATTCCCGCGGGTTTCGGGGAACTTATTTCCGCCGTATTTGTAATCTTGGGACTTATTCCCTTTACTTCCTCTAGCTGGGGTTGCGCAATCACAGCGAGATCCTCTACGAAAGACTCTCCAGTCGATCTAGGATTATCGTTTCGCTTAACCTGAGCGATCGATTGTTTCTCTTCTAGATGTTCCCCTCTAGGGATACATCTTTGTCCCAGTCCACCCGACTTATTCGAGTGGTGGACCTTCGGCGCAGCCTGTGTTTCCTCACAGCCGCCGGAACTTTGCTCCGAAGTGTAACCGTTTGGTACACTAAGATTTTGTGCAGTCGTACTAACGACCGTACCACAAGTGAGGCCATCGCACTCACTCGTAGTACATCCACACGCTTGTGGACTCTCCAAAACGTTCATCAGATGGCCATCTGATGAACAAGCGGCAGGCATCGTTACTGTCCGATGTTGCCAGTTTACCCGTGGTTCGTACCTTCTGAGCCACGGTATTCCAAGGATGACATCAAATTTGTCATCCAAATCCAATACGATAAAGTCATCGTCGTATTGGGTATCTTCTAGCGTATAGTGAATCTTCACTATACGTTTCATGACGGTTACGGATGCGCCTGTCGCAAGACGTACCGTCATCCTCGTAGGAGGTGTGTCACATTCACTGAACTTAAAGTGACCATCTTCTAGCGATTGGCGTCGCACAAAATTGTTGGACGCCCCACAATCGACTAGAGCTCGAAGGGACAACTTATTCGTCACTTCGAGTTTCAAGGTAATGAGTGAGATCTCATTACCTAGAGCAGCAACGCACAACGTTTGTGTGTTGGGAGCAACCTTCATCAAGAGGCCTACAAATTCTCTTGACGTTGCTGGATCAGTAGGGTGCTCCGCACCTACTGATCCTGTCCGTTTTTTGACGGTCCATCCCGTTGTTGCGTCTTTGCACCAACTGCGGACCCTCGTCCCTGCCCCTTTCTCATGGGTGGACTGTCACTACGCCCAGTGTCGCGAGACACTGGACGAGGGGCACTACACTCGTAAGCGTAGTGTCCTGTCTTTTGACATCTGTTGCATCTCTGCAACTTCTTGTAGCCTGTAGAGCGAGCCTTCTCGCTCTCTACATAACAGAGTTCCATCGGCTCTGGACCTCCGTTGTCATATCGTCTCGGTTGACGATATGATGTCGAGCTGGCGCGAGCCTGTCTCAGACTGAAGTCTTCCTGCTCCGCAATTGAAATGGCTTGTTCTAGTGAATCTAGTTCAAGCCGGAACAGGTGAGTCTTGACGGGACCATCCGCAAGACCCTGCATGAACACCGAAACCAACGTGTGTTCATCCACCGGATTGGAACTTATACAACTCGTGAGATGTCGTATATGTTGAGCGTAAGCGTGCACATCACGCTTACCCTGCTTGAGCTTCAAGAGTTCGGTTCGAGCTCTGAACTCAGCTCTAGGCGGTTCAAACGTTTGTCTGAGCCGCGACTTGAAGACTTCCAACGACCCAAACGCGTATGGGTCGTGCAGCTTGAGCCCCAGTGCCCAAGTCTTGGCACGTCCTGCCAGATTTGACTGGGCAAATGCAACTTGCATATCCCCGTCGTCGATGCGACGCGCCCTTATGGCGTCATCCAATTCGACGAACCATCTCAAGAGGGAGTCTTCTTCGACCCCCTATACTTTGAGATGTCAATCTTCAAAGTCTCGGGCCGACGCGAGTGCATCGACCCGCCAGCAGCAGCCTGCTGCTGTCTCAACAGTTCAAACTGTTGAGCACCTTGTTCTCTCAACAACTCTGCTTGTTGAGAACCTTGTTGGTGAAGCAAGGCTACTTTCTCGCGTTCTGCGTCAAGTTCATTTTGAATGAACTTGGCGATAGTAGCATGTTGGGCATCTCTATTGAGAGCCTCTAGCATGACGCTAACAGCATGGATGCCCATGGTCGAACCCATTCGTTCAACCGCATCCCATTCGACATCGCTCAAATGGGAGTAGCCGTCACGCGTAGCGTGAAAGCTTTGGTCATCTTCATCATCCAACATATTCATGTTGGATGTGAACGCGGTCCTTGGACGGACTACGAAGTGCTACCAGGTGTAACGGGGCACCCCTGAAGCTTGTACTGGTGACAGTACAAGCTACTTATTCTGATAACAGAATAAGGCGGTGCCTCGTAACTTCACGTACACTCGTACGTGCAGAGGAAGACGGTAAGAAGAAGCGAGTACTTGGTTAGAGTAAAAAGTAGAACTGTATTTAGTATAGTTAATGTCTGCAATAAATCACTATTTATCTTCATCTAACTATGTCTAAATACAAATGTGTAAATCAGTTATCTGCTCACCACTCATTGCGTGCGTCTGTCGTGGCGCGTCTTCGTTGGTTGATATAATGGCCTATATCAACCAATTAGGAACTACTTGGAAGTGCTACAGAATATTGTCCTTATGACAATATTCTGAGAATATAACTCTTATAGTTATATTCTATTAACAATTTCTTATAAATTGTTATGTAACGATTCACCCCGTTACAGAGCTCGTTTCAAATTAGTACTAGTAGTGTACTTGTGACAGTTGTATTCATCGCGATCAAGCCACTAATTACATAAAAAGTGTTCATTATTAACCTCTCACGCGTTACAAGATCATCTCGAACGCGATGCGAACAAAGGATTCCAATGATTGATGTGCATAAGTAAGTAGATTGTGTATGGGCGAAATACTTGCCTTTTACCTCTTCACGAGCCTTTAGTAGTGCGCGATGTGATATTTTGCGTAAAAAAACATCCCGAATACCACCAGATAAAGCAATGTTTGTTCTTGCGCGGATGTAGGCTGTTGTGCCGAATGAACTTCACCTGGTAATTATTTGCTATCAATATCCGATAAAAAGTACCAGCAAGATTGACCGTCGACACGCGATTGAGATTTGACTGCACCATGCTTACCCTCGGCTTGGACAATTGCTGTTTTTCGAGATGCTGCTACTTTTTAACCTTTAAGGATGATCCTACCTCACTATCATAGCCAAGTTCTCTCAACATATATTCGAAGGCTGACATACGATAGCGATTGCAGATGCCAGACCACTTTGTCGCGTATTACAAAACGTCGATTATCAACAAAACTTTTAAACTTTGCCTCAAACATTTCCTAATATTGTTGACTTTAAAAAATTTCGCGGCAGTTGGCAAGTAAATTCATAAATACGGGTCAGACGCAAGGTAAATTGTGCGCGTTGGAAAAGTGTGTACGAAGCGCATCCATAAATGCAAGATTTTAATCCATGGCAATCACACCAGGCAGCTGAATGGCACTGGAAATGCTTTTAAAATGATCGCGAGCCCATTTGTAGCCTTCTTCTCACTCGGATGGAAAAAAATGTGAATGCGACCAAAAATCTGCTATTCCATGAGAACACTTCAATTGTGTATCGTATTAAAATCTTGAATTTAAAAAGCTAAAAATTCGGGTTGTACTGTTAAAATTTGCCATTCTGAATCACATGTTGTCAATACTTACTTATTGACCTTGTACGTACAATCCATGATCATGATACATGAGAGTTACCTTGCAAGTTGAGCTCAAAATTTGGTACAATGAAAAGCTTGGTAATTCGACCTCGATTGTCGCGGTCGTAAGCATGTAGAATGTTGTTTCCTTGAAGCGCATTCAGCAGCATTTCCAAAGGTGATTTTGTAGCAAGAGACGTTTCTCGGAATATCGTCTTTGCTTAAACTTTGTCCATTGGAATGAGGGAGGAGTCTATTGCTCTAAAAACTGTCGCCAAGATGACCTTGGGTGCAGCAAATGCTCTTGCCATGGCAACGATCTTCGTGGCATTTTTAAGACCATTTTCCCGCGCGGCGGGACAAGCTGATACATTCGCGGAATCTTCGTGGTTGGGCTCGCTTTTATCGACATCGACATGCCACTGATAAAAATGACAGAAGCACAACTGCGAAAACAAATCGTACGGTCACTGCTATGATCATTATTCGCTGTGTCTCTTTTATTTGTGACGGCAAATGGACACTTAAGACCGCGTATTGAGCTGTTAAGCTTCGTGAATCCTCAGTGAGGTATTCACGTTGGATCTTGTACGGGGTAGCATGAGAATAAGCCAACCAAAAACTTCCCGGTCTCACCTGCGCGGCACTTCTTCGAGCGAATAATTTGATAAGGTGCACCTTTCATTTACAGCATGAGAAAGCACCATCGTCTCCGCGCCCGCCAACGATGCGTAGCCAGCATCTGATGGCGTTGCGCGCATATTCCATTTCTCTATTGGTGTTCATCGTGCATAGTTTGGTCACAACCTTCTCCTGATCAATGTCGCAGTGCTGTATAATGTAGCATGTTATAAGTTCTATTCTTATGCATTCACGCTACATTTTTTGGCGAATAATTTACTCAAACAGTTCAACTGGGTGTGTACGTTTTAAAGGGTGGGTGTGTACGTACCAAAGGGTGGGTGTGTACCTGTGAATCGTCTGACTATTCTATGCCAAATTGCTGAGTGCTATGTCAATTACGTGTTCGAAAACGATACATTGTGCACCTTATTTATTTCTTCGCTCACTACTTGCGTTTGTTTTCATACATGCGAATACTAAGCTTTTACTATATCATTGCGCTTTGATAGTAGGGATGGGTTCTCGTAAAAGATCCAAGTAATTTCGGACTCCACAAATTCTGATAAACTGACTATCCGTGATCCGTACGTATGCCTAGGTACTTCTAATTCAATATCTTAGCTTTAATGCCTGGGGAGTGGTGGTGCGGCGAAGAATGTTGCTAGGCAATTTACTATACTGGCGCATCCGCGCGGCTACTCGACATCCAGTATGCATCGTACACACTTCCTATAATCAAATGAGTCGTACCCCACGACTCAATTGCTTACAGGAAGTGTGTAAAAGTTCATGTTTGGACGAAGTGTGGAATGAATGACATCTGTTGTAATTGTCCTACATGAAACACAGCTCAACGCGATTAAAAATTCACTCTTCGTTTTCGAACTTCTTCACCGGAAATGTTTAAATGAATATTCAGATTAGTTTACATTGTTCGGTGACGACATTTGATAGCGCTTAACGTCGACAAAATAACTTGATGGACCTCAGTTTACAGCGAACGTTTGTTTCGCTCGGCTTGAACCCAGCTGGATGCGATCCAAAAATCACAACTTATTAGCATTTATTACCGATTCGCACAAGCCATGGGAACCATAATGTAAGACGTTGACAGGCAGTAGATCAACAAGGCGTGAAATGCGGACAGCAATCAGATTGCGGAATCCCGCGAGCGAGCATAAGGGCCTCGATCCAGGATCGCGATCGCGAACAAGAGAAGTGCGAGTAAAGTGAGAATACACATGAAGGCTAGAACACCAACTTGGCGTGACCGCATCGTTTTCCAGATCAGCGATCTAAAGTATGCCATCCGGGATCTCGGGGTTAAGTGATTAGCGATCCACAGTGTGCGTGATCTTGATCCGCGATTCACGACATCGATGTCGGCAGCCCACCGTTAGCACGATCTAAGCGTGTAATCTAGCGATTTGCGATACACTGTGCACGCTCTTTTAGCCACAAAACGGCGGATCAGTAGCGGATGGTTGCTCCATGCTGGCCGTCGTTTTGTCTGTCAAGCACAAGTACAGTGGACTTTTGTTGGTGTGAAGCTGTGGATGATGTGGTAAATGCAATCAACATTATGCACAAGATTGCAGATGTATATCTCTGACCGTAATTATCTGGCAAGCGGCGGGTGTTTGACGCGTCAACTAGGTTACATATGACACGTGGCAGTTACCCTTCACCGTACTATCACTTGTCCAACCGCAGTTCTTTTACAAATCATGGTAGCGGACTAGAAATGACGCACACCACATATAATTGCTTTGCTCTGTCAAATAGGAACAAATCCACGTCCTGACGGCTGATGAACACAAGTCAACGAGTTTTGCAAGGATTGTTTACACGTTCGTGACCGCGTAGTATTGCTTGTCACACTGCTTAAAAACTATCCTCGGTTCCTAGGTACGATTAGTGCTAATCGATTCCAAGTACTTGTACATTTGTGATGGGGTCAGGTGATCAAAGACGTATTCCGCCATCGCTTCTTCAAGACTGTCGATGCGGCTTGCATATTTCAACGTATAGTCTCTCACAGCACGGAAATGTCGATCCGACCTAGGTAGCTTCAACACGTCCGTTCCGATTTGCCACCGCAGGAAACGATAGGCCAACAGAGGCGACATATTCTCCACCTTGACCAATTGCTCGTACAATGCGTCCCGCATCTTGCTGGTGAGAAGCCTCAGCGTCGGATACCGATGCCCGACCAACTGGAGATACGCTCCGTAGAACAATGATTTGTGGACATTTTCCGTCCCCAGCAAACATCGCACTATCTCCTTGACCGAAAAAGCGTCATCGCCGTACTTTTGCCTGAACTGACCACAGTACAGGATCCAGTGAGAGGCATTCGGGTCCAGCAGAATAGGCTTATTGCCGACGCCCAGAAGCTTGAAAACTACCTCAGGACTCGTTCCCAAGTCCAGCCACTGCTGATTCATCGACTTGCGCAAGGCTGGGAAGTCGTCTTTCGATAGAATATCACGTAACTCGTCAGCATCTTTACGCATACCAACTGCTTGGAACCAATCCAACACGTCGTCTACCGGATGGGTTTTTATCAGCAAGGTAAAAACCTTTTCTGGCTTGTACCAGCCCTCCTCATCGTCAGACTTTTTGTAGTCCCGTGCATACTCGATCCAGATCTTCGATCTCTTATCGGCTGGGAGCTTGTCCTGACCCTTTCCGATGCGTAGAACTTTGAAAGCGGTTTCCGGGCGGGGCTGTTGCAGCAAGTATCCTTTAACAGCCAATATTGCCGCACCTCTCCCTAGGTTTCCTAAAAAAGCAGGATGGCCCCTCGCTCCATCTCTTTGTTCCACGCCGGTGGTTGCGTCCGCAGCTAGAGGCTTTAAAAGTGTTTGGTTGTCGAGCAGGTTTTCGCTCAGAGCAGATAGACGGCTGTGGTTGTGAGCAATACAAACGGCCCGGTTCCAGAGAAAAAGGATAAGAAACAGCATGCTGTGGTAGAGGAACATAGCGATGATGTCTGCTACTTGTGAGAAAATCAAAAGTGAGTTCTTTTACGATCAGACCTACCTGATTTCAATCGCTATCATCAAATCCTGAGCTTACTTTGGTTGGGTCCAAGGCCACTGTCGTACGCAAAGTGCGTCTTGCAACATAAGAGAACAACTTGATGGGTGCACCTGTCCATTTTTTACCCGCGCGAAGATCGATCATGGAAAAGGACGAAAGCTTACAACATTGAAAAATATCGAGAACTTTTATCGAGAATCTTGATCCAAGATTCGAGACGGACCAGGGTTCTAGGTAAAATCACTCAATAGTGAGTATGTGGGTGTGTCCAGGACTCACTTCTTACCATAAACTTGATACGGCGGTCGGATCAGCATACTGTTTGCAGCTTTATTTCTGACGCCGTCTCTCGCGGCACTGTCCCAGCCATAAGAGCTCTCGATGCCAGTTGGTAACCAAGTTTACTAGTTTGATCCTAGTACTCTCGGAACAGGTGTAATTACTTGCTAGCATTGACATGTCACTCCCTGCTCACAAAGTATCGATCGACCAGTGAAGAAAAACCGGCTTCTAGTACGTACATGGTAGTCTTCGGGAGTGAGCAAGAGGAAGCAAATTCTAGACAGTGTGGTCACCCGCTTTATGTTGGACCGAAAGATCTCTTTTTTTGGACGAGTGCAGGAAGAAAGGGGCAGGACGATTGCGTAATAGATCAATTGTAAGTTGAAGCAATAGTTCAAAACAGTGAGCAAAGCAGGGAGAGTTTGCTATCATCACGAGATCTTCCTGTGACAGATTTGACGGGCGTCGAGATAATAGTCGTCGTGCATTGGATATACGATGGACCAACATAGCTTAGAGTGTTCCAGGCATGATGATACCCATGCGGAGCACCATCCTAAAGTACGTTTTCGTCTCGATCATACAGTGAAAAGAGATGAATGTGAAGCGATTCGGTCCTGTTCTCATGATCTTTGGAGAAATTGAACGGCCACAACCGGACGTGAACGATATTGCATCAGCTTGCTTGCACGAACAACGAGACTATGGTTTTTATTTGCCGATTAGCATTGCACTTGTTCTACCTTAGCTATGAGACTGAATGCCATTCTTAGGAAGGGTGAGAAAGATGAGAGATTTAGTCGTCGACAAGAACAGCGCTTGTACTTAGGATGAGTTGCAGCCTTTTGCAGCAGCACAAATCGTTACATTGGAGTGAGCTGGTCGCTCTTTATTCCGAAGGTGCTTTCAGGCAGGACGTATTGTACTTGCCTCCATATGAATGGATACATACACCGGCGACTCGTAAACTCTCCGGCAAGTGTAAACACCACACATGTTCTTACGTAATTGTTCTCCTCATTTTCCTCGTCAACGAATCGGCCATCGTAATCGTTAGTACAAGTACTCTTAGAACGAACTCACCGCCACAGTATTTTCACTTTTACTGACAAGCGAAAAGGACGCGTTAAGTGGGACTGAAAGACGACGCACACGCGAACAAAAGAACAAGCGTTTGGTGGAGATCGCGGGGACCATCAGCAACTGGATCGTAATTCCTTCCGTCGTTCCGAAGCTGAACGATAAATCCATCTATTTGTCCGTCTGTCTATCTATCTATCTATCTCCGTAACTTTATCGACTTGACTGCTACAAATGTCAGACGACTTTGAGCGCTACATCACACCATCCAGTCACACCTAGAGCGTCAATCAGTCAAGCTGCTTGCACAAATGTGGAGTGTGAATGGCAGAATGCAAGACACCTAAAAGCCCAATGGCCGTACTAGCTGGAAGTCCAAAGAGTGATACGAGTGGGTGACAGTTTGGTGATAGACACAATCACGGCCAAATCACAGGCTGAATTGCTCGTTTGGTGTGCCCACTTAGCACCGACATTTATAGCGGTCGGAAGAATGAACAGACGGCGGCAACACCATTGATGCTCATAACGTTGGACGAGATGTTGCCATCCAGAGCTCCATGCAGCAGTAAACTCGATTCAACTGCTTAACCTGCTCTCAATTCATTATAAAATTTGACACGAGTACCCCGTACGCGATTGGGCGAACCACTTCAACTTGGTCATTCTAAAATAGTAAAGCCAAATTGCGTGAAACTCGTCTATATTATTATCAGCATCGTCAAACACACATGTCGCTCAATGCATGCAGCACTCGACAAGCAAAGCTGCTCATTCGAGCTCACCGCTTCTTGATGATCGCTTTGCTTCTCGTAGGCGCGCCGTGACTTTTGCCCTTGACGTTACCCTTACCGCGCTTCGACCTCACGCCAGAAGTGACCTTGGTGCCGCGCGAACGAGCCTTGCGCTTCTCCTCCTTACGGATCTTGCCCTCGCTCACCAGCTCATCCTTCGCAAACTTGTTCACATGACTGCGGTTCACCATGGAAACGCCACCACGCGGCTTCTTCCCATTGCGATAGTCCATCTTGCGACTCTCACCATCGCCATCCTCGTCCATTTCGACACCGCCACCAGCAACGCGCTTGTGCTGCTTCTGCTGCCACTTGCGGTATGCTTCACCCACGTGGTGTTTCTTACGGACACTGACACCGCTCTCGTTGCGGCGCTTGAGTGTGCCCTGACTGGTGAGCTCACCAGCAGTAGTCTTGACAAATTTCTTCTTGCGCACATCCCAGTGCAGAATACGACGCTTCTTGTTCATCTCAATAGCCTCATCGGGGTTCACATCCAAGATGGCTTCCTCCAAACGAGCTTCCGCAAAAGCATTCACCTTGCCACCATCAGCATTCTTTGCCAAAAAGCCCTCGGTAGTGTAGTCGCCATCCTTCATGTAACTGATGTAGTTATCGTCATCCTTAAACGACAAGTCTTCTCCATGTTCCCGGTCTTTGCAATTCGCAACGCCATTTGCTCCTTGCTCCTTAGCTGCAGCCACCTGCCTCAGTACGTCCTCTTCTTTCTCACCAGCGGCCACACGTTTCTTAAGCTGTTTACGATCGTGTTTGGACAAAAACACGGTCTTTTTCTTCGGAGCCAAAGCTGCTTCCTCGTCTCTCGTCTCCACAACATCGACCGCTTTCTCCTTAGATGCCACTACTTGGCCATCGGCATCAACCATTTCCTCCATGTTGGCCATAGCGTTAATGGCAGCTGCCTCTTCATTCGCCTTGACTATACTAGCAGCCTTGGTTGTCTCAGTAGCAATGATCTTGCCGTGCAGCTTTCGCTTCTTCACCATCATTTGTACACCAGGTGACGAACGCTTTACCGACGAGTGTGCACCTGCAGCAATCTCAAAAATCGTCTGAGGTGGACGAAACGAAAGCAGCGAGTCCACGTACGCTGCCTTATCAGCCTTGCTCTTGTCAAGCACGTATTCCTGCTGAAACAAAGGGTGAACCTTCTTCACTGCAAGTTCCTTCCCACGTCGAATGGAGAGTTTCGACGGGTCAGCGCGGGTACGCGCGTAAGCTTTGTAAGCGTTGTCGCAGACCTTCACGAGCGGAGACACTTGCGGATGGCTAGACATCAGCTCCGTGATGGCTTCATTCTCTTGATCAATTAGTTCATTAGGAAATGCTCCATAGTGAACGTCTGCAACCTTCATAGAACTCAGCGAATACGGCTTGGTGCCGGCGTGTTCCTCTGGTGAAGAGTCCTCTAGTCGGCGCCCGATGTAAAGGTGCAAGTCAACCATAAATGGAGTTTCGTCCGGATCCACAAAGCTAAAAGCCGTACCACTACGGCCTGCACGAGCTGCACGACCCACACGATGTACGAAAAGCTTAGCCGTAGGCGGAAACGAGTAGTTCAGCACATTGTTTAGCAGTGGAATATCGATACCACGAGCTGCCACATCTGTCACAATGAGCAAATCTGTCTTCTTGGCACGGAACTTGCCCAGATTTATTTTATGAGAGGCTTGGTCCATGTCACCATACGCATACGATGCCTCAATGTGACTTGCCGCCAACAAAGCATGTAGAAATTCTACGTGATGACGAGTAGCTGCGAAAACAATCGTCTGATCACCCTTGGGCAAAAACTCTCGGACCATGTACAGGAACAATGCCGGCTTGTCCAACGACCTCACCGTAAAAAACGCCATCTTTAGGTTCTCCGAGATCTTATTCTCCACATCCAAGCGAATCAGCTCAGGATCACACAAACCAGCTCGGGCAAATTGTACGAGAGCCTTTGGCAGCGTCGCCGAGAACAACAGCGTCTGTCTGCTCGTGGGCATATTCTTCAAGATCTCCTGCAGCTGCTCCGCAAAGCCCATCTCAAATATACGGTCCGCTTCGTCAAAGACCACATACTCGATAGCTTTCAAATTAAAGTCAGGAATTTCCTGCAAATGGTGCATCAAGCGACCAGGTGTTGCAATGAGCACGTCCGGGTTCGCTGCAATGGCCTCAAACTGCTGGTCCATGCCTTCACCGCCAACAATGAGCGCCATCTTGAGTGTAGTAAACTTGGCCAATTGCTTCGTAAAGCGAAGCGTCTGCACCGCCAGTTCGCGTGTAGGCGAGAGCACCAGAGCGCGCACGCCAATCTTGGTCGAGTGCTCCTTGAGTTTCTCCACCATAGGAATCAAGAAAGCAGCCGTCTTGCCCGATCCAGTGCGGGCCATTGCAACGCAGTCTTTTCCAGACAGCACGATAGGCAGCGACTTGCGCTGGATGGGCGTCGGCACTTTGTAGCCCATGGCCATGACACCGCGGAACACGAGCGGACTGAGGCCCAAGTGCTGGAAACCGCCCACCCCTGCACCTTTTCCATTACTCTTTCCATGCGTCGTAGCAGTGTCCGTCTGACTGGGCGCGTTCTTCTTGTTCTTCGCTCCTTTCTTGAGCAGATCGTCCGTCGCCATTGCTCCGAGTCTGTCGATGGACGTCAAGTGCGGACAAAAAAGCACTGGAAGCCAGCGAGTGGCGTTGTCGTGCATTGATTGGATGAAATCGATCCTCGTTTAGATCATTCAGATTTGAGTCCTGCTTCGTATTTAGATCATTCAGTTTTGAACCCTACCCGTTAGCAGCGTGCGCTGTGTCAATTGACTACTGCTACTTCACATGTCGCTGGGGGACCGCGCTGTGACGCGGGACGAAGAGGAATGGGCCGCTCGAGGCAACGACGTGGCTGTTGTAGCTCCAGAAGAAGAAGCAGAAGCCGGTGTTGTGGATCCCCCAGCGTCCCTTATTGGACGAGTCGATGCTTCGGTGGATGGAGCAGACGATCATGCTAAGGCTGCTGACTTGGCGGTTCTGGGGGATACGTGTCCCATCTGTCTAGAGACGCTGGACGACCCCGTTATGGTCAAGGTCTGCTACCACGTCTATTGCTTGGAGTGTCTGAGCACGTGGGTGCACAGTCTGGCGCTTCATGGAGTGGAGGTAGCTACTTGTCCGCTCTGCAAAGCTTCGTTCCAAGAGGTGTACGCCAACGTGCGGAGCGAGTCGGACTTTGAGGTTGTCTGCTTCAAAGGGAAGCCGATGCAGAACTGGAGGTTGAGAAGTAGTAAGAGAAGGGACGAGAGAGGGGAGTCTTGTCAACGCTTGCGACGTCGATCGCTGGTGTATCGACGTCGCATGCAGCTGGTTCGAGTGGCTGGAGAGGAGGTCGCGGATGTAAATTCGTTCCCGATGATACGCAAAGTGAAGAGCGAGTACGAGTCGTGGCTAGCTAGGGAGCTGAACGCGTGTATTGGACGAGATGTGGATTTGACAGTGTTGCTGGCTATTATCCAATGCTGTCTGGATAAGGTGGCGCAGTATGGAGCCAAGGTGTGTTACAATGAACTGCAACAAGCGCTGCTGCCATTTTTGTATGAGAACGCCACGCATTTTGTCCAAGAGCTCGCGCACTTTTTGGCCTCCAGGTTGAATGCTGAGGCCTATGATGCAGCAGTAGAATATCGATGCGAAAACGCTGCCGAGTGTACAAACACGCTGTGCTGTAGCAGGTAATCGGGTACGGTCACACCCTGGTACGTCTGCAAAGATGTGGTAGGAGGCGTAATTTTCATAAATGAGTGTGCAGTCCGTCGAATACAACGGGTCTACCGGCATGATTGAGGTTGCTGTTACTGCCACCATCCCTTATCTATGCTCTGCCCAACACAAGAGCGAGCAGGGCCATGCGCACGTACATACCATTCTCCATCTGGCGAAAGTATGCAGCGCGCGGATCATTGTCAACCTCTTCGGCAATCTCTCCAACCCGTGGTAGCGGATGCATGATAACCAGCGTTGTCTTTGCATCCTTGATCGTGTCCAATGTAATGCGAAAGCTGTCTTTCACTGTGTTGTAGTCGGCCTCGGACTCAAAGCGTTCCTGATTGCAACAAACAAGCATGTAACAACACGATGGTCAACATGAAGCGTTACAATGCGTTGCTTACCTTTTGCACACGCGTCACGTAGAGCACGTCGGTCTGGTTGATGACTATGTCCAGATCAGTTGTCTCAATCTGTCGGATACCCTGCGCAGCCAGCTCCTCGTACACATCGCGCGGCATTTTCAAGCTCTCGGGCGACACATAGTTGAACGTCGTGCCGTACATTGCCAGTAGTCTCGACAGTGAGTGCACCGTACGGCCATACTTGAGGTCACCAACCATCGTAACAACCTTGCCCTTTAGATTATCCAGGTCACCGACCTCGCTGTAAATTGTGTACAGATCCAGCATAGCCTGCGTCGGATGTTCACCCACACCGTCACCAGCGTTCAGCACAGGCTTTTTTGTAGCTTCAGCAGCTATCAAAGCGCTGCCTTTTACCGGGTGGCGAAGTACGATCACGTCGGCGTAGCACTCAAGGCACCGGATTGTGTCATACAATGTCTCTCCTTTCTGACTGCTGGACGAGCTCTCATTGACACACACCACAAGGCCACCGAGACGCTTCATCGCAGCTTGAAAGGAGCTGCTCGTGCGTGTAGACGGCTCCATGAACACGTTGGCCAACAGCTAGCAACAGCGTCAACAAGCAACGCAGGTCAGCTACAAAGATCCATCACAGTTCAGTGCATTGCAAGGCACACCTTGCCCTTGAGCAGGTCACTTGCACCCTGCGTCTGGACCATCTGCTTCATCTCATCAGCCACGCAAAGCACACGTCTACAGCACCAATGTAAGTAACCCTTCCCCCTCTATCTTCCAACAACAATAGCAGCGTGCATCTCACTTACTGGGCGCTCTCCTTGCCGAACTGTGCAATCGACAGAATGTTCTCGCCGTCCCACGAGCCTACAGCCGTTTTGCCGTCTAGCACGTGCGCCATCCCAGAGTGAAAGTTTGACGTTGCATCGCTACTGGTTGGGACAAAGTGGCCAGTTTTGCTTGGCTTGAATCGGACGCATATTTCAGCGAATCAGAACGGACGGTGTCTTGCATGGGTTTATGCGAACCTAGCAACGCGCCATCAGCTCCTCTATTTCGTTAGGGCACCGTATTGCCGTTCCCCTCCGCTCGATTACGACGCCGTAAACGTCTGCGTACTTAGTCATTCTTCGAGTCAAAAACAAAACGTGATGGGAGACCACCATGAGCAGGATCCGGAGCTGTGTACCCAGCAGCAGGAGGCCCACGAGCACGCCCACGCGAACGGCAACGAGACCAAGAAGGCTAAAAAAGGCTCTGGAAAGAGACTGAATGACCGCGAGCGCGTGGATATCATCCAAATGGCCGAGAATAGCAAAATCTCCAAGCGTCAACTGGCCGATAAGTTCGGCGTGAGCGAGGCGGCTATTCGCAAGCTGCTGCTGAAGAAAGACGACTTCTTGCGACGTTACTATGACACTCCCGAGGACATTCGTGATCAGCGGCTGCGTGGCAAGAGCACGCGCGTTCCAGCGAACACCTCGGACAGCTGCGAAGGTGCTGGTGGATCCATACAACGCTCAGGTGAATCGACGCCGGTTAGTCAATCGCCATCTACTATGCACGCTTCTAGTATGGGTGTGTACCCACCTGACGATCCATGGAAGTATGGGCTGCATGCGATGTTGACCAAGGTCACGCCGTTTTTAAAGAACTTTACCCAGAGCAGAAGAGAGCCGCACACGGCGTTGGAAGCGTCGATTACTGCTACGGATCAGGATGTCAAGGCTTCATCAGTGACGGCGGAAGAAGTGGCAAGTGTGGAGAAAATGGACTGGATTAGCTTTTCGCGCATGCTGCGCGATATCCGACGCGCGCTCCATCGATATCCCGAGACGGGATATCAGGAAGTACGCACACAGGCTTTTATCAGGGGATTCTGTGAAAAGGCGCTGCAGATTCCGACTAAAAACATCCGAGAGATGGCGTCTACAGGACTTGTGGTGGACGTGTGCTACGAAAACGCGACCGTTTCGGCATCGGAACCTCGAAAGCTGCCTGTCATAGCCTTCCGTGCAGATATAGACGCGCTCCCAATTGAAGAACTGAACGACCACTTGCCGTACTGTTCTACCCAAAAACAAGGCCAGAAGGAGTTTCGAAAACGTAAAAAGCGAAAGATACCCACAACGCAGCCTTTGTCGCCGAAGAAAGAGACAGCGCTAATTGAAACGGCTGAGCGTGTCCCGTCCGACAGCAACGATGTTGCGCCAGACGGGACTTGCGAGATAAGTCACGATGTTGAATCGAACGATCCGACAGTAGGTCTATTACCGGCTTCATCGACTATTACCACCACGACGATCGGTGCTCCTCCTGTGCATAGTGCTGCTGCGGATGATGAAGAAGAATTTGTAACCTCTACAGCTGCGGCGCATATGTGTGGCCATGACGGTCACATGGCGATGGTGCTTGGGCTTTGTGCAATGGTAGTGCGGAGCGCACATTTACTGCCGCGTGACACTTTCGTGCGTTTCGTGTTCCAGCCTGCTGAGGAAGGTCCTGGTGGGGCACAGAAGATGATTGAAGAGGGTGCACTGACCGACGTAGATGAGATTTATGGGCTGCACAACGCACCGTTTCCGCTTTATAGTATCCACGTCCGACCTGGAGCTGTTATGGCGCACGAAGTCGAATTTTCGATCGACATTTATGGCGTCGGAGGACATGGATCTGCGCCTCAACAATGCGTGGATCCGATCCTTGCAGGTTCAGCTGTAGTGCAAGCTCTTCAGTCCGTTGTAAGTCGGTCATTGTCTCCGATGGATACTGTGGTCGTATCTGTTACCCAATTCCGTGGTGGTGATACGAACAACGTGATTCCATCTCGCGCGTATCTTGCTGGGACTATTCGCGACTTCGATCTCGAAATCGCTGAGAAAATCAAGAACCGCGTGGCCAAGTTAGTCCATTCAACGTGTGCTGCTTACGGTGCCACCGCAAGAGTGCACTTCCTCGATGGCTACGCTCCTGTGATCAACCCGCAAGTTGAAACGCGCCAAGTTCAGCAGATCGCCATGGACATGGGGATGTTTGTAAGCGAGGAGGGGTTGCCGCTCATGGCTGCTGAAGACTTTTCGTACTTCTTGCAGGAGCGTAAAGGCTGCTACTTTTTCCTCGGTACGAAAGAAGACGGAGACTCGGATAAGATGCGCGCGTTGCACTCGAACCACTTCGACTTTAATGACAAGGCGCTTCCGCTCGGCATCCGGCTGTTCATGGGTATTCTCCAGTCCCGTTTCAAGTGTGAGCTGTACAGTATTGAGGAAATGCAGGCGTTCCAAGTCGCCATGGAGCGCATTATGATCAATGTCACGATGGTGTAGCCAAGTAACCAAATGCAAAGGTCTTTTTTTGGACGACCATGAAGTAAAGTAGATTAAGCTGTATATGATTGGTCGAAAACGAAACACGTGCGTAAATGCCATCAGTAGTGCACACAAACACAGAATCAGGCGTGCGAATATGGCGAGAGCAAAGTTAAGCGGGCGGCAGATCATGCAGCTGTTCTATACAGAAGTGGATCGGTCTCTGTCTCCTAGTGCTGCTGAGAAGGATCCGGATCTATCGACAGTCTTCCGGTGCAAGTGCGGCAAGATGCGCTCCCAGAAACTCAAGCATGGCTACACTAATCTGGTGCAACACGTGCTCATGAAGCATTCGGATTGGGTAACAGCGGCCTTACGAGAAGCTTTTCCGAGTCCGATTCCTACACTTTCCAGCACTATCAAGTCGCCGAGACTGAAGAAACTGCGGCTTGCGAAGGTTGAGGCCGAGACGAAGGTCTTGTGCAGCGGCGATGGGATTCCTGGCAACTTGACAGGGAGCGAAAAGGACGAAATTGCGGCGAGTCAATTGACGGTGAAAGCTCAGGAACCGACGGCGCCATTAAAAGTGCAAAAGCGCTCGCAGTATTTGTCGTGGGATGACTACTTTATGAGCGTTGCTTTTTTGAGTGCAATGCGCTCGAAAGGTTGGTGGCAATTGATGACGCAAAGTTAGGGAGGGGGCGTAAAACATAGTGAGGTTAATCGTACTGGTGCTGATGATAGACCCGTCTACTCAAGTTGGAGCGTGGTGAGTAGCTGCGTGCTGCAGAGGGTTGATGTCGTGCAAATGTTAAGATGCTCGCGTGGCTTTCATCAATGACAGTATTGTGAACCCAGAACGGAAGATCGTCGGAATCGGCTACAATGGATTTCCAAATGGTTGTGCTGATGACGAGTTGCCATGGGCGCGCGAAAGTGAGACGAGCTCTCTGCTTGATACGAAATACCCGGTAACATAAAGCGGATGACGGGGTGTTTGGACAAAGGCTAAAACTGCTTTGTTTACTATTCTTCAGTACGTCTGTCATGCTGAAATGAACGCCATTTTGAACAAGAACTCTACTGACGTGAAAGGATGCACGGTGAGTTGTTGTGGATTGCGATACCGATTTTTGAGGCCGGTCTAACGCCGAAATGTTTCTGGCAGATTTATGTGGCGCTTTTTCCTTGCAATGAGTGCGCCAAGCTCATCATTCAGGTATGTGGTCTCAGATACGTTCTGTGTCGGACTTAAACCATGATTGATTACGTGTTCAATTGGCTTAGAGTGGCATTGCGCGCGTCGTGTACTGTTCCGATAAGTACAAGCAGGAGTAAGCTTAGAGTTTGGTAGATCCGAAGATTTGTCATGGTTTCATCTGACTGTGTCTGATGATCCACGTTGCAGCTGGAAGTTCGTGGCGTCGCGCAGGCTCTTGGACATGGCTGGAGTGCAATGCGTACAGCATCAGCTCCAGCGGTCTAATGTCATGATTGACTTTACTTCAGTTTGATAAAGAGATACAAATTAGGTTCCTGGCCGCCATCAAGCGGCACAGGGAGAAGCTGCATCAATAAAAAACGGGAATATTATGATATGAAGCTGTCATTTTCTGTCTTGTATATGGAAACCAGGATCTCTGTATCGAGACGGTATATTTCAAAGTGGACTGTACGAGGGTACTTAATGACAATGTAGTTTAAAACGTTATTGCCGGTGGTGATGATCGAACCTAGAAAGGGATGCATAACGTGCTACGCCAACCTGGTCGTTAAGCATGATGTTAGTAATGTTGTTGAAAACCACATACTTACTTTTGTCCATTTTACGAGACGTCGATACTGAAAGACCGCAGACATCAGTAGCTAGCTGAAGTGACGAACCTTCTCGAGGCAGCATCTAGATGAGAAGTACTACACTCATTTGTCGACAGTACAAACATCTTGCCACCGATGCGTGCCTTGACCACCGTACCGTTCCAATTGTAGGCACACTTGCACTCACAGTTATCACGATACTATTCTACCATTGTGATGTACACCTACGCACCAACAGCTTGATCGCCATATTTTGGGCTCAAATGACCTTTTCATCGCTCCAGGGTAACAGGTACCTCGACACCGATACGGTTGCACAAAGTTATGCACTGGGTTTGATACAACAAGACACATCCATATCTCCATAATTCCAATGCGAGTAAGACGCTGTCGGTTGAATATGGTATGCGCGTTGCTTTTATGCACCCCTCTGCAGTGATAAAGTCCGATAAGATAAATCGATCTCATATCTCACATGTAAGAAAAAACTTTTTGTGACCGGCATAAAGTATACGGCCAAAAAACGTAGAAAATTCAAGTAAAAATGTAAATTGTGTTCAGGATTCCTAGAGCGATGGGGAAGGGGAAAGCGCTAACCGACCTGGAGCGTGGGACGATTAATGGCTTGCATGAAGCAAGTCTAACAGGGCGCACCATCGCGCGTGGTGTCAATCGGTCACGTAACGCAGTATTGCGAGTAGTGAGCGGTTCAATCGGTCACGTAACACAGTACTGCGAGTAGTGAGCGGTCACGTCGGCCGCAGTAGCACTAGCAGACCACAAAATCTGTCCGATCGTGTTCTTCGTGTGCAACAAAGCTGCATCATTAGCTCGAGCTGAAGTGGTCGGTTCGCACTGTGTGCCGCATCCTCCAATGCGTAGACTGGTTTTCGTGCACAAAAATGGAGAATACGATCCATCTTTTGGATATGCATAGAGTGCGTCGTCTTGCATGGTCGGAGGAGATGCTGATACTTTGCAGTGCAAGGATGTCAACCTTTTCATGAAAAAAGTAAATGGAACCTCGATGGACCGGACAGCAAACAGCACTTTTGGATTGACATGCGTGTCTCTTTTTTTTTGGGCAGACGAATCGTCAGAGGGCGGAGGGTCCGTTATGGTTTGGATTGGGTTTAGTGGAGTCGGAAAGGAATGAGAGGATAATATCTACACGATATCCGACTGTATGCTGCTTTTTGCTCATCGCGAATAAGGTACAAAGTTTGATTTCAGCAGGACAACACGACCACCCATACTTCCTCGATGTCGACGGACTTCTTCGCTGAGCAAGGCGTGAATGTGACGGACTGGCCTACTTGTACTCCGGATTTTGATCCGATCGAAAACGTGTGGGCTATGTCCAGAGACGTGAACCCGAACCGTAAACAGTACGATTCTGTATCAGCTCGAACCTCGGCAGTCATCAAAGCGTGGAAAACATACAGCGATAAAGATTGGTGAACTTGATCGACTCCATGCTGGACCGTTGCATAAAAGCGATCAGAATGCAGGGAAACAAGAAACACTAGTCACCTGATGAACATTTCATGTCCTCATCACTTCAGCAATGCAAAAACTATTTACATTTTACTTGAATTTTCTACGTTTTGTTTGGCCGTATACTTTTTGCCGGGCACAAGAAGCGCTTTTTTAATGCGAGATGTGAGACCGATTCGTATGATCGGATTTTTAACACTGCAAAGGGGTACATTAAAGCTGTTCACATACCATACTTAATCGACAGCGTCTATCTCGCATTAGTTATGGAGTTATGAGCAATAATGTGGACAGCCCTATCATAATACCCCGGAGTAAACAGACTGTCAGTTTTGAGGTGAATTTTTGCCTTACAATATGATAGGTAAGAACGAGTGACACGAATTGTAGAGTCTCAGCATGGAAAGTAAATTATGGAAATACCAACGGTCTATGAAGTATGAAGGTGCGGCGGAAAAACTGATACAAATTAGGACTGCCCAAATTTTAAAGTGTTCAGGATTTGGTTGGTGACAATGATAAGTGTATCTCGCAAAGCGCATGTGTTAAAGACATCAATCACATAATCCGATATCGTGACGTCCACAAGGTTGGCGATGACACGCCACTTGAGATACGACGAATTTTATCGACGATGGAAACAAGAATCTAAAGGCTTATGACTGCTAATATTAGTAAAAAAAAAGACGTATCTACTAGCTCGAGAGGATCGGGCAGAAAACAGGCATCGGTCGATCAGTTTACAGACATGCAATGAGAAGGATTGCACTTTTGTGGTCGGAAGAGCGGCTTCCAGAAAGCCAAGTAAGAAAAAGTAACCGCTACTTTCTACGTAACCCTCGCGTAAGTGGTTCGCTTCGTACCCTCCGCCTGGTCTCACACATGCTGGTAGTGATTTGAGACATTTTTTGTTCCCCTCAGTCGTAGAGACAACAAGTTGATGCTTTCAAGCTAGTGCTTCGCTATCCATTGAATATGTGACGAAGTACAACATCTCGTGTCTATGTTCCTATATGTCGTGTATCTGGTTCAAGATGTCGTGTCCCTGATTCTCTATTTCGTGTATCTGGTTCGAGATGTCGTGTTCCAGATTATAATGTTCATAAGTGTGATTACGGGACACGCCGGTATAGTTGGCTTAATTGTCTCGGTTGGCATAGTTACAGTACAGGACAAGTATCTGAGAAATTGTGGTTTTTGTCGAACAAGATAGATGCAGGTGGATATGTGCGAACAGTGGAATATAAAACAAGGTGTACATTACCGTATAAGTAGAGTGTGTCTTAATTGTAGGAACTGAGTTCTACGTTGAGATGGTCATAGCAATTTTTTAATGCAAGTTCAATGCTCAATGCTTGGTTCTTGTGAAGCATTTGCTTGGAATGGGAGATCTCTTAAATTTCAAGGTGCAGTATGTCAATTCCACAGCACTGTTACATCAAAAGGTTTTGAGTCAATTTAAATTGACAAACTACAAGCCTGTTCCTACGCCACAAGTAAAGGGTGACTTTAAAATGCCTTTAAACCCGGATGTGGAGCCTGTGTTTTTAAGCAGATCCAGATGTGGATTATCTGAAGAAGTTGTGGGATCGTTGCACTACATAGTCCAGTTCGCGCGTCAAGATGTTGCCAACGCGGTGCGAGATTCGGACAAATTTGTCAATTGTTATACAAGAGAGCGCTATAAAAGGCTATGAGGTTGCTCTGTTATTTAAGAAGAAGTCATACAACGGACTGTAGAAAGGTAGTTGTCTTTCTTGCAGTTCTGCGAAAGTAGTTGACGGTAAAAGTAATGCATTCAGTGTTAACTTCGTTCGTTTGCACTACTCTACACCACCTTATGTGTCTTTTCATCGACACTGTAATGCAATTTGACCAGGTTAAGTAGCAGACGGCGCACGTCCAGTCCGTGTGTCACCATGTACCGATCCCACATGCCATTTGCATCGCCTGGTCCCACTGGCTCTTGTCGTCCCGACGTGGCTTCCGTCTCTCCGTGTCCCAAATGTAACGGTTTCAGAATAAAAAACGGTGTCAGAATAATAGCTAAATAGGTGAGGTCGAAACGTACCTGTATCAGGCCTTGCAGTTGACTTCTTGAACTTCGACGACCTGTGAGAAGTATCATATTTTAACACGGAACACTTTAAAAACTTTTTTTGGAAAGACAAAAGTGCAGAAGAAGTTGCATCTGAATGCATCACGACCTAAAAATATACATACAGATTGTGGCATACTAAACCTATCAGCGCAATGAATTATCAAGATTCATAGCGCTGTTAGATTTAGTCTTTTATTGGTTAAATTTACTCCTTTTCCCCGTTAAAAAGGCACTACGAACAATTATGTAAGATTAGTTCAAATCGCTGTTCTATCACGTCATTTGCTATTCATTGCATGATTAGCAATATCGCTTCGGATGTATTCGATTGCTAATACCCACGCTTGATTAATTTTACCCTCTTTGTCATGGCCAGGAAGCCTTATCTATTGGAAACGTCACATACATGCAGTTACTCTGCTGATGTTAAGAAGAGGCATTCAATAACGGCTGGTTTTACAGGTGCATTTCGCACAAAAAAAATTGCTCCAATTTGCAAGCTTGGCATTCTTTGGGTGGGCTAAATTCAGCCAGTGGTGTCCTTGAGAATCGTCAAGTACAAAATAATGGGAACACTCACTGCACGTTGGTTGCTAAATCTATTGAATTTTGTACAGAAGTATGTAGAGGTGTTAACTGCTGACATAGTTTATGCTAAATGATGCAGCCGATTTGACGCTCGCAGCAGTCATATACTTCACTTTTTCCAACTGCGCATCAGCAATGCTATATTAGGTTGAATTTGTAGGGAAAGAAAGATGTTCTCGATTACTGGGACCGCTGACTATCGTCTTCAGCTCACATTTTTCAATCGCCATGATACCAAAAGAGGAGAAAAAGGCATTTAATATCGTGCTGTCTATCGCTTTCATAAATTTCAATTGTGCATGGCGCTGCAGAGCAGCCACATTTTATATGTCTATTACTGGCAGCCGAATGATAAGCATTCATCCCCAGCCAACAGCCCCGCTTTCAGCTGCAGCCATCAGTTCTTCACATCGCTCAATTCAGCCTTAAATTAAGGAGAATGCATTTTGTGTTCATCTCGATTAAGATCACAGAACATTTCTACGGTCAAATAGTACCAAATATTTGTTTAGAGTCGAGATCAGTCTGAAAATGGGTCGGCCGAATTTTACTTAGTAGGTAGACCAATCAAAATGCTTCTCATCGAGTGTATACTTGAACGAGAACGAAGAGAGTACTTTGAACGAATACAAGAGTGAATATTAATGGAATCACATGAATGAAAGTAATGGGGTAACCTAAATGTTTTATAGCAATATTTGAAAAATGAGAAAACATACCTACGATGTGCATGACCGTACAAACGAATAATCTCAACTGCTTAAAAACGTAATTATCGCGTTGATATTTATTTAAGCATCGCGGTAATTCAAGCAGATAAAGCATTCGCGGTAGTCTGATGTTGTCAAATCACTTTTGTATCCGCTCATCACTTGATGTTTCACCGCGATTTTTACCACGCAAGAAAGGTTTCCTCATATTGCTGCCTTCACGACGAACGTTGTCATCGCGCTAACGCAAGGAGACCGACGTTGTTGTGAATGTTAGATAAGCTACTGTCCGTATCTTCATGCTCGATCGAAAGTCAAAGATAACATATTTATCGCGTCAATAGTCGCTCTGTGAGACTGCACTTATTTCGTGTTTGCTATTGACAATGTATTCGGTCACTAGCTCACGAAAATCTACCCCCTCCACCTTTCATTGTCCGCATGTAACCCAGCATTGGAAAGAGACATGAGCAGCAACGAACCAGCAGTATCTTTGGAACCAGGCGTTACACGAGTGGAAGCGATATCATCCATGCAGTGGTTGAAATTAAAACGAAGGTGAAACCGTTCATTTCGTGTGGCAATATGGACAATCGGCATTACAAAACAGCGAATACACAACATGGTCGCGACGTCGTTGTCCTGCCTGCCTTTTCGTAGAAATCAGCCTTTAGTAAAGTATGTCCCTGTCAAGGTGTCTAATCGACGTTCAACTGCGGAACAAATTGCTGCAAACCCTCCTGTCAGAGCAAAAATTGCCATAAGATTTGGCTGAAGGTGACCTCCGTGTTGATTTGAATGAAGTTATAAGACGAACGATTCATTAACTCCCAACACTTTTCGTTGTTGTACAACTGTGCGATGCAAAGTTTGTGAATCAAGATATTAGACGCTCTACTCTCATATCGTTGTTGTTGGCCTCCTTTGGATGTAAATGTACTCATCACTGCTTGGTCAGGTACCTGAGTGTTGCTTACGGGCGTAAGATTGAAGCTGGTAGATTGTGTGGAATCCTTATCGACTTCAAACCGGTTGCGAGTAAGCTCGAACTTACTAGACATTTTTGACCATGGGCAACGACGATATTGACAATGGAACGTCGATGCCTTAGTAACATGTCTTGCGAGATCATGTGTTCCTAGCAGTTGGGTCGTGGCTGACCCGTCAAGCAGATGATTGCGAAGATGGAGTTTTCGGTGCTTCTACTTGCAAGTGTTGCACACTTCATCGACATGTATACCTGTATGATGTAATGATGATGAACAGTAGGTGAAGCTCAGCCTTTCGTTTTGCCGACTGAAAGACTTTAGATTGAGCCCGTGTTTGAATCGAGCTGGGCGCATTATCGTCTAGAATTTTTATGCACGTAGTTCTCTAGTATCTCTTTAGCGAACGACACGGCAGTAGGGGGAGGGGGACATCCTGTGGTGTTCAGACCATCGCAAGGTGCATCGATGGCAGCTGCCGGCGATGCTCGTTTTTATTTGTTAGTGATGCTGCCCTAACAATTACTTACTTAACCAAGTTCAAGTGACGTGCCTTGTGGACGTATGTCTCTAAGGATACATTGTAGCGTGTATGTCTCTTCGGATACATTGTAGTGTGTGTACTAAAGTCTGCTTCAAGTTCATCAAACTAGCGCTTCGTATGCAGATCAACAGGCGTTCATTTGGTCGGCTCAGCAATCTTGCTGCTCGTATTGCCATCACATCACCATATTAACTGCACAGCGATAACCTCATCCTAGAAGCAGCTTGCACGCCAACGTTATTGAGCATACGCTATCTCGCAACGTTGCCGATTCCATCGTTTACAAAAGTCGTTCATAACTACAAAGCATGGACCGGTAGTGCAGCCTGCGAATTCGACTGGTGCTGTATGTATACGCAGTGTCAGCAACGCCGAATCATAACGCTTATGGAAAAGTAGAGACGCTAGTAGTCAAAATCGCGCGGTGAAAACACGAAATCCCGTCTCGCACATTTCCGATACGTCCCATTGTATGGGCGACTTTATAATGACTCTTGCGACAATGAAAAGTTGAGGTGTTCTGCGCCAGTTAGCGTCGCTCCATACAAACGTCAAGTTATCCGTGCATCACGCGTTTGGATAGTGGTAATGGACGTCGAAGTCACTAATCAGGAGCCACCGTTCATGGACATCACGGACGTCTTCGACGCTATCTCCGGTTACGAAGAGACCCTAGTAGCTCAAGGCGAAGCTATGGGGATCGAACGTGGTCGTGAGCTGGGTATCGAGGAAGGTCGTGAACTCGGGTGCGCTATCCTATCAGCATCTGTAAGGTCAAATGATGTAAAAAGACACGACTCTATAACTTTGTATTAGTCTGTTGAAAGGAGCCGAGATTGGCAGCGAGTTGGGCTTCTACCAGGGCTGCTACATGGTGTGGAACCACATGCTACAGCAGGAGACACTTCGACGCAAACTCCCGTACGTATGGTATCGTCGGGTGTAAAATGTATACGTAGGGACGTACGTCGTGGCTGACGTACTGGTGGTGCTCAGAGATCGGGCAGCCAAGTCGGTCGTCACTTTTGGCGCATTACTAAAAGCATTTAAACTGAAGGTGGGTAGGATGAAGCAAAGAATAGTGTCCCTGTTTGCTTGCTAATGAAGCCTTTTATTGTTCAGAATGTGGTTGACGAGGACATCATGCAAGAGCTGTTTCGTATTCGAGCGAAATTCAAGGTCATCACTGCGACTACAGGCCTACGGAGGACTTTGGTGTACAACAAGGAGGATATCGATGCACACAAGAACATGTCATTTTAAGCAGGCATCGGCTAGAAGTCAGCGGCATTCTTGACATTCGGCTAGGGTCTGCAGAATGCGTTTACAATTGGTTTGCGACTTCATACGGGACTTGTTCAGAGAAAGCCCACTTGACACTAGTACGCTTAGAAAAGCGATGTTCCGCCAGGTAGCAGGTGGGTCGATAGCGACACGTGCGCGAGTGATTACAGGTAAACAAGTCATTAGTACGACTCATGACATTTGTACGATGACTTCTGGTCCACAGAAAAATGCACAGCATTATATCGGAGTTCGAGTCCCGTTTGTCAGCGATAATGGGATGTATCGACCTTGCATGTACTGTGGAGATCATAAAGCAACTGCTGACATGATTAAAGTTGCCGATGTCCTATGCGTGGATAAGCTCGCCATGAAAGGCATATGAAGCGATGAGTTGATCACTTAGCCGAGATATGCTGTGCTTGATGCTCTAGCGCCCATGGAATGATTAACGGAGACGCTGCGAGGAAGGCGAGTATCCCGCGAGTTTACAGTGGTTAGTTACAACCGAAACATCCGCGAGAACGCGAGCCATGCAAAGATCAGTTCCACCGTGATCGAATATTCTGTTGCTGGGTGGTCGAGCATCGGCATACTGACTAGAACATTGAATGTGTTGCCAAATGTGTCGATAAAAGATTGAAGACATATGGGGCTTTCGATGCAGGTTCTTTGGTTATGATCGTTCGAAATCTCGTTATTTTCGATCAATTTAGTAGCAAGAATCAAGACCATGCAGCTTGCTAATTGCCGCGGCCAGCCGCTAGATAATCACCACCACCAGCTCTGTCAATCATGCCATTATTTTCGGCATGTGTTGACATCGGTGAAGGGTTCCAGCCTCAAAAATTGTGCGCCGAAATAGCCCTTGTGTGTGCGTGCGGACCGCGTATGAACTTCCAAACACTAGATTCGTGAAATACATTTAAATGGGTAGATCATGGGTAAATCACGTAGTGGGCCGCCTAAAAAATTACCCTCGCTCGACATTGAGTCAGTAGTGTCATTGACGACCGTCACGTCACTCTCGTCGTAAAGTCCCGTCGTTTCACAGTTTTTTTAACCATCGATTCTGTCTTTTTAATCATGATAAGTCCAGAATCCTACATTTTCTCGTCGCATTTTGTAAAATGCTGCGTTCGTAGGCAAGTAAGTGTGCACACATTGCATCGATTTGAACGTACGAAGGGTAACACAAAACGGACCCGAGCGAAATTATCAATGTACACGGAATGCCAGTCACTGAAGCTCGCAGCTATACCGCTTCCTTTTTACTGCTTTGGAATATATGTAGGTGGCAGCTATCCGAGCTTTTGACGTAGACCATGATGTCAAATGTTTGATGATGTGTAGAATCGAGTAGCTTTTGAAGCCCAGTATCACCCAACGCTGCTTCGTCGATCATTTGTATTGCCGTCTCGTTCGTTTGCACTTGAAGCACGCAATCATTCAAGTTCTCCAATCGCGCAGCACTTCAGATTATTTGCGCATGTCAGGTTCATGCAGAGCATAACCGCAATCCAGTGAGATCTTTGTATCATTATCCATTAAGTCTTACGCAAATACGTGGGTCCACTTTTGTTTAGAGTTCTGTCCGGACTTCATTAATACTGTCATTGATGTAGCGTGCATTCGAAGATCTTGCTGCGCAATATTGCTGAAACACACGCGTATTGCGCACAGATATTAAATGCTCAGCGAAGGCAACGCGACATCAATAATGGTCACAACGAAAATCAGGATTCTGGAGATCGTGTTTTGACTGTGCGGCGTGGTTGCTTTTACGAAAGCTTCTCAAGCTTACCTTATACTTGTGTGTAATGCCTTTTCACAGTCAGTCTTCGTCATTCCTTGCTGGCGATGTAGAATCATGCTCGCCTCGACATCATCAGACCAGTCAAAATGCGCGCCGACTGATTAAGGCTAATTCGTGTCGTCATATCGTTACATTGTATTGGCCAGCAAAAATTGAGCCCAGCCCCTCGTGGCCATCAACTCTCTCAAATGGTCGAATTGTGACTTTTTTTGCGTTCTATAGGATGCAAAGCCAATTTCCATTGGTTAGGTCGGCTACAGCAATCTGCTGGTACTCGCATGCATCCAACATCAGGTGTCTTGCCTCTGGTGCCATTATTTCTGTCATCGCAGCTCCAACCACAATGTACTCTCATTACTTTAGCTCTAGCTCACGATCCAAAGTATCTTTTATTACTTTAGCTCCAGCTCACGCTGCTTTGTCCATCAGCACATTTACATCTAGCCTAGCTTTAGGTCTGACGACCGATGTGAAAAAGTAGTGTTTTGTGCGAATTTTTCGACAGATTATTAGACGATATCAATATGGTACTTCGTGTTTGCAGACAATTTCTCTGCACTGCATGCATAAAATAAAATACGACAGCGCTTCTGACTCGATTATTCGCTTTGGAAATGCACGATGATGACAACGTACTACGGTGAACGCGTGATGACCTTGTCTAATTTGACACTTTGATGTCATTTACTGTAGCTACCATCGCTACCATTTAAGAATAAAACTAATCTTGTGAAGTGTGTGCACAAGTTGTCATCGAATTTGAGCTGCTGAACCCGGTTTTGCTGTCTGCTGTGCTCAACAATGTCTTTATCCACATCCCTACAATTCTTCTTAGCCTCAACTTGATAGACACGAACTTTGTTTGCGCGGGTCAAAGTGATGTACATTGGGATTATTTCAAGGTTCACACACTATCGTCTACGGTGGAACGAGGCCAGTGTCGTGGTGAAAAAAAAACGGAAGACTATGTCGCAGTGTTTCAGGTTGAGCCGTAAGTTTACTTGTTATGCTATAATCACTAAACTGATACCGACAAGCTTACGCTCTACGCACTTCCGTTTGAGCTTAGCTGCTTAGCTAAGCTCCCCAGCACAGCTGCTCCTATCACTGTTGTATCAGCCAAGTAGTAGCGACTGTTATGTAGAAGTTTGAGTACAAATCGGGCTTGTCGATACGCTGTCATCATTAGTGTCGACTCGCCATACTATGTGATCAATTCGTACGAATCCTGCGGTAAATGACGTCGTTAGCGAGGTGTCACAGAGCACACCATAATCCATCGGTAAGAGCTGCCGTCATGTTGACAAGTCATTTAAGGTTGGCAATCACTTGTGCGCTCTTCGGTAGCGCCTATAACGGTGTACAACGTTGTAAGGTCCACCCCGACGACAGCATACCAAGGGTCATACAATGCAGCCCAAATTTCAGAGCGAATGCCTGTTCTGTCCGATTGGCCTTCGTTGGCAGATCAAACACGCGATTGCCACAATTATCAGTAGCACCACTTCGCGGAATAACACATTCGTTCACCACGCTCACATCCAACATCCTAAGTAGTCAAGATGGAATCGAGTTGCACCTATACCTCTTCGAGCAATCAATTGTATTCCTGTTGTTGTCAGTCTTCGTGCTCAACTCGCTCTTGAACTCTCCCTACGAGTTTGCTCACCGTATTGTGACACAGTATGGCAACACTCGCAAGTGCGTAAAAAGCAATTTCGAGGTCTGATCGACATGTGCACGTAAGTCGCAATCGTAATAATAGGAGCTAGAATCAATCGTGCGTTTCTTCTCCCAAGCGTAACTACTCGGCACGACGTCATCTTCGATCTCGAAAGGATGATGCGCAAGCGGCACGAATGGTAGAGTAAAGAATCATTTTTCACGTATGCATGACATGTCCTCTGCTTACGAATGCTCTACTTTCAACGGTCGACAGCACGTGGTATCTGGTCGACCGCCGCCTATGCGCCACCTCCTTAGGTAATGATTTCTTACGACGCTAGCAACGCGCATCAGATTTTCCGATGTACCATGTGGTATAGGCAAAGAACAAGTGCTACACATCAAACAGCCCGGACAAGGAATCCCCAGCTCGTTCGAGCATTACAAACGTCCGCATACCATTGTAACTCACCACAGCCGCCTATGAAGTATTCAGTCTACAGTGAATCCTGTTCTCATGGCAGTCTCACGGTCGAGAGGATTGCTTACAAACAACGCACCATTTTCCGTAACTTTTGTTGAAGCACGCAAAGGAATGGGATGAGCGCTCGTGCGCAGGGCAGGGTGATGACGTAGCATTACGTGACTCAGCGCTAGCTAACGCACAATCGATCAGCTAATCGCATTCTGGTGGTTGTTCAACACTGCTGCTCATTCGTTTGTGGCAGCAAGTCCTGCAGCACAGCAGTTGGCAACGTTGATAAGCTGAGATCGTGGGCATTGGCAGGTCCTAGGAGCCTAAGCTTTTGATCCGCGCAACATCGCGTCTGCATTCAACTTCCGGCTACTCGCCGATAGACCAACGTTAAATGATAAGATGTCGTTGCACAATGCAGAAAGCAGTATAGCACGGCGTACACGGTTCCTAGCCTACTGACGACGGCGTCCGCCCAGTTCCTGTAAATCCAGCTGCTCAACCGAGGTGCTGGAGGTATTTTTATCTGTCGTAGCCTTCCAGCAGCATCTAACAGAAGGAGGCAGCGTGGTTGCAGAGTAAACACGTTCAGGGCACCTCAGATTGTCAAGCTAAAGACCATTTAAAGAAGAGGAGGCTAGTGTGAGATAATGTCATCGTGTGATTCCCCTCCGCAACGAAAAGCGGAGGCTAGTCCTCTCTATACCCGTTGTGTCCACCCAATTCATTGATCATGCTGCGATTCAAGGAGAGTGCGCCACTGCGTTTGTACTGCGTCGTAAGTGATCCCGAAACTGCTGGCTCACAATCGTTTCGCTCGCTTGCAAAGCCCAATCGTAAAAACGGCAATACTTGGCACGTTTGTGTTACCTGAGCAACGACAGGCACCATCCGGTTCACATAATGACTTGTGGTCCAGCAGTCTTTACTTCTGAACCCTATCGTGTGCGCACAATGCAAGCAAGGTAGCTTGAGCTGTAGTAAAGCATACAGTGTGCGATCAACCATTGCTAGGAATCACAAAACAAATGGTTGGCTAATGCAAACCCCGCCCTGATGCTGCAATCACTGTAGCTTTCCTGTCCTATCAATGCTTGAACAACCGCAAGTCCTTCATTGCAACGATACACGCTATCGTCTCTGCCATCTGCAAGTCTCCATATCCATCTGCTCCAGGACGCGACACACTGGATCGTACAATGTTGTTTTTACACGCGAACATCTTGCTGATTAGCAAGAGTCTCTCCCAGTTGTTCTCATCAGCGTCGTCTTCCGTCTCGATGACAACATCATGTGATCCAACTAAACCCGCACATTCTGGTCACCGATAACTTCCGTCCGCCACTTGGACTTGTAACTCAAACGCTTTTTTGACATTGAAAACGAAGACACGGCACCGAATAAATACCTGATAAACCAGTGCTTGGCTTGACGTGCCCTGCAGCTATTGAATAATGGCATCGGCCGTGCCTTCATCGTACGACCACGACCAGACTCGCAGGCTGCACCGTCGTGCAATGCGACAAATTACAAACACACTGGAAGTGTGTCTGAACTCGACTCGCACAAAGGAGCAGTGGTCACGTCTGCGTCGCGACAAGCATCAGGAATTATATGCCAAAAGCATCGGTCGAGGAACATCGACGAACGGACCATCGTCCGCCGTCTACTACTTGGCCGTGAACGAAGCTTCTTGCGGGTTTGAAGAAGCTTTCGACCTGCTGCAAATCGACTCGACGGCTCGCTTTCGACTTCTGATGAAGCTCTTACACGGTCGCGACTTTAAAGATGGAGCGTTGACGGCTATGGCCACAATTGACCACCACGCGCTGGATGAGTTGGCGGCTACCGATACGCAGCACGCAGCAATTTGGTTCATCTATCAGGACCACCGCAAGTCCGTTGTACTGCGTGACCAGCACTTGACGTTTTTTCAGACGCTCAAGGTGTTTCTACCGGACACTCAGCAGCTGCAGCATCATGACCAGGGCTACCAAAATGCTGCGGCTTCCTTGTCAGCTGCCTCTTTGTTGGATGGGCGGACTGCACGTCCGACCGGTGGAGTTCACAAACGGACGATAGCCTTGAGTTGGCTGCCATTGCCTCGCTCGCAAGGTGTGGTTCGGAAAACAGCACGGCAGGTCGATTTGCAGTACACGTTGATCATCGAAGAGATATCCGCGAATCGACTCCGTCTTTCGTGCGTCACTAGCTCCTCTCCTGACGACTACAATGGGTCTTTGACTGGCTCACCTTGGGCAGCACGAGCGATAGCAAGGCGACTCGCGTTGCGATCGGTTGGCAAATTTGAGGCGGCTGTAGCAGCGTCTCGAATCGGTGGCTGTCAGTTTGTGGCCCCGCATCAGTGGGTGAAGAATGAAGACCGCGCGAGCTGCGTAATCTGCTGGAAACGCTTCAACGCTCTTTTCCGTCGTCGTCACCACTGTCGTCTCTGTGGAGAGGTCATTTGTGGCTCCTGCTCTTCACTGCGTACGACGAACGTTGTCAACGTCAAAACACGAGCAGCTCAGAAGACCCGTATTTGCCACATGTGCCACAACGAGGCTCGACTGAAGACTGGCACGCGCATTTTCTCAAGCATCAATTCGAACCACAAGTATGACAGCAGCATCAGAATCCCGTCCTCCAATGATCAACCACGGGCCCAACCTCCGCTGCCTGAATCGGACTCGGAGTCCGAGCTCCCACTTCTGTCGCAAGTACTTCCGACGAATTTGAATGATGTGACGGCTCCGGATTTTGAAGTGCTGTCACCATCAGTAGCTCCCATGGCATCGGAGAGGACGATGACGGAGAACTTTGAAGCAAGCAGCACGATTCACGAGTTCGAGGAAGCTGAAATGGACAGCTACATTGGTGCACTGCCGGATCGCTCGACAAATGCCGTCGTCAGTAGCAAAAAAATCATCTCCATCAAGTCTATCACTCGTCGCACGAGGGACTTTTGGCAGGTGATGCCGTCCACGACGTCGAGCAATAAAGGGCGTTGGCCATTTCAGGTGCTTGACTCCAGCAGCAGTGTCAACTCGACATGTAGTGTGCATTCCAGCGACTGGACTGGCGGAAGAAATAGCACTAGTGGTGGGGCTGAGGCCTTGACGTTTGAGAATAACACCTCCAGATCATTTCTCCATCCATCAGCCGTGACGTCCGAGTCAAAAAGGACGATCCAGCCGATGTGCATCACAGCTGAGGCAAGTAGCTACAGCTCGGTCGAACGGTCTTTTCGGTCGTCATATGAATTGGTCGACTCAAAAGAGCAAGACGAGGATGACTCGAGATGGTTTGCGTACCGGCGGACTTCCATAATGAGCTCGAACGCGGGTTTGCTTGACCGGGAGTCTGCTGCTTATGAAGGGTACTTTTTGCCAGCACTGAATATTTCACGCGAAACAGAGCGGCTGAAGCTGCTGGAATTGATTGTCTCGCCTGCGTGTACACTCGTGGATCGCACAATCATGCATCGAAGCTGCGAAATTGCTGCCGCTGCTTTCGGTTTGAGCGCTGCTTTTATTGCCCGAGTCGACGAGGCATTCGTGAGGATTGAACACAGCATTGGGACTTGTGATTTATCACCTCAAGAAGAGATCTTGCGGCGAGAGTCGTTGTGCGACTTCGTACTCTGTCAGCCTCAAGACCAACCCCTGGTAGTCTTGGACTGCCTTGCTGATCCACGCACTCGAGATATTCCTATGGTACAGCACTTGTGCATGCGCTTCTTCATCGGCATTAGCGTGTGTGTCCGTGGCTTTCCCATCGCGTGCCTGTGCGTTTTCGAACAGGATGATGGCAACCGGTGCGAAGGAGACGAAGAACTAGTGTCGGCATCACACTACGAATTGGGACTTCTGAAAAATGCGGCGCGTCGCATGGAGGAAGAGTTGGAAAGTCTTGTCCATGGCTTAGAGTTGTGCTAGACACTAAAAGCCGATGTGGCGATGTCCATTTAAATTGGTTCATCTCGCGGTTCCACTAAAACTTCATTCACTGCCACGTACTGCGGCTGCGTGACGGCGTACAACACAGCGCGACTGATATCCTCTGGCTTGAGAACTTCGCACTCTGTTGTAGAGCATCATGACGGATAACGTATTCCATTTTAGGACGACAAAAACAAAAGCTAGAATGGAAGCAACATGACACCGTACCAGAAGCTCCTCCATACAACTTCATTGCCTCTTCGTCGACTCCGCTCGCAGCATTCGCATGCTTGACCAAGTCCGTTGCCACGTTCCCAGGCTGCAAAAGTTCAGCAATTACATGATCAAATGAGCGCACAACAATTCGTTTCCGATAAAGTCTTTGCGAAACAACAGCACTATCAACCTGGATGGAGGTCACGCGCAGTCCACTTCCGACGTGCTCAAGGCGAAGTGCCTGAGAGATACCTTCGATAAACATCTTGGATGCCGAGTAAACGCCCAATCCAGGAAATACTTTGCGCCCAGCATCGGACGAGATGTTGACAATATGGCCACACTTCCGAGCTAGCATCTGGGGCAGCACGGCGGCTACACCATTGAGGGTCCCTTTGCAATTGATGTCGATCGTCTGTACGCACGCATATGTCACATATTACAAACCATCTCAAGTCAGAGCTTACCCCAAAAGTCACTGATTTATCAATGCTTCTCGTCTCGTAGACTTACTCGATCCCAACTGTCCTGGTTCACGTTCTTCAGAAGCTCAAACGGCATCACGCCAGCTACATCCAGCATGCACACACAACAGAAGAAGAAATCAATGACCCTACTACAAGGTAACAAAGATGTCGAAAGCATGACAAGAAATAATCTTCTTACCGTTATTTACAAAGATATCCACAGCCCCAAACGCCTCCTCTGCCTTTTTTACAAGAGCATGCACCTCTTGGCGCTTCGTGACGTCCGTCTGAACAATAAGAATGCCTTCATGAGATCCGTCCTTGAAGCTGTTGGATTGAGCATTCTCGAGACTCGATCTAACAGCTTCAAGAGCCTCGAGGCGTCGAGCCCCTAGCACCACTTTGGCTCCAGCAACTGAGAGCTCCAACGCGATGGCTAAAAATGCATTTATATAAGAGAACTAAACGTTAGGGGAAAATGACAGCGAGTTAGTGTGACTGTGAGCTTCGTACCGGCACCAATGCCTCCTGAAGCACCTGTGATCACTGCCACTTTGCCACGGAGCTGGGTGTTGGTACTCATTGTGTCTGTGTAGCTGCTCTGTCGAAGATATCCGATCGCTTTGAGCAATCAATGGAATTTGTTAAAATCACCCCCCTTTGTAAATTCAAACGAAAATAAAAATGCCCCATTTAATCATGAAAATAAAAACGATGGTTAGAAAATAAAAAAAATGCCACAAATAACTAAAAACAAAACATGTCCTAGATGATCGGAAGATAAAGATGCCTCACGTCGTCGTATACTCTGGTAAACGTGGTATACATACACCGACATTGTGCTCCGATGTAGGGCCTAACCTAATATAAATACTCTTCATGCGCTATCTGCCGATACGTCTGACTTTCTAAAACGGATGAGTCCTTATTTACGGAGCGCGGATATTCACCATGACAGAGTGGACGTATGCCATGCTCACATGTCAACGCCACATTATATCAATTCATATTTGCAACGTGCAAAACGGAGCAAACTAGGTGCCGTAGAGAAAACTTGGGTCAAACCAAGCGGGTGTAAAGGTCCTTAACATTAAGAAGCGCCACGGAATCACTATCAATTTATGCTATGAGTATACAAAATGCAGTTTAGTAGCACATCGAACAACGCAGCAGGTGGTGGGGCACCGAATATTAAGGTTTTAGAGTCAAAGCCAAGTGCTGGCGGATACAGTCCAACAAAATTTTGTTGAAGTCCGTATCGCGCGTTTAAACACAGACTGTTCTCATTATTTAATTCTATGATATGTACGTAGGAGGGTGTTAATATAACAACCAGACAACTACTTCTCAATGCTCGAAATGGAAAGTAGTATTAAAAGTAAAAACTACTGCTAAAATGCATATATAAATCCCCTTAAAGAGTGATCGCTCATCCAGATTGTTCGAAGAGCCCTGTCCCTGCAAAATGCCATTAACACGACACACAATTTATGTCGTGGTACGTAAACCTTAGCAATTAACACTTCGACCAAATCGACTGTCTTGTGTGTGTTATCATAATCTCTTGAGCTCTCCACGTTTAGCGTTTTTATCTTGTAATTTACAAACCATTGACAGCACTGACTTTTTCCTGATTCAGCAATGGTTAGTAGCCTTCAGAACTGGTAAAGCTTTTTCGAAATAATAAATAGGAGTCGGACAGGTAGAATGAATTCGTGATGGTCTACTAAATGATTAACAGAACTCAATGAACTATAGCACAGAAACATGTTCCTATTATTCAACTAAACAGCGACAATAGCAGCAGCACTGTGGTACCAGTAACACCACAAAACAGTAGTAACACCACGAACACTGACGGCAGTACCAATAACAACGACATCAGTAGCACCAACACAAATTTAGCAGCAGCGGGATTAAAACAACAAGAACACATAATTACTTACATCAGTAACAACAACGCATACAGCTACAGCGGTACACCAGAATGCCATCTCCCTGGAAACCAAGAAGCGTTCTGATTTAGAATGTAACAAGGATAACGAACTTTCGTCAAAAGCCAGGGATTCGCTCGTGACATAAATGGAGGAAAACCTGTAAGCTTGGGTGCCTTAAAGCCAACAAGGGAAGTTTACCTGATTAAGAAAATCATCGAGGTCATGGATTATTTACGACGCTTTAGCCTACCTGAGGACACCATGAGTTATCCATTAAATAGTCGCAATGCCAGCAGCAGCGAAGCAAGCTGCATAACATCAGGAGTTTTGGCGAGAGTGGTTCAGCTATCGAGGAAGCTATGGATGCAGCTTTGCCCAGACTTCAAGCTGTAAGCCTAAAGATGTTTTCAACATGGACGAAACCAAATCTTGAGGAACAAGAAACCGTAATTTAGAATGATGTTGTAAAATACCGAATACAATTTAGACCTATTTATATCATGAGTTAAAAAAGGCAGTTGCCGAGAAAAAATTGAGGGTCTCAATTGATAGAAGGGCTCAGTCGATTCATTTCCTGGAAAAGCTTTGAAGTTTGGTTGTGTTTAGTTCAATTACAATTGCTTCTCTATTTTATTTAGGTTCGGGCCTCTCTTGTCTTCACGGCCATTGCGGATGGTACCCCAGGTGTCCATCTGAATGGCATCCACAACTCAGACACTTTGCCCCTATTATTTGTGCATTTTTTATACAAAAATATGATTTCCGATGTCAGGAGTATTCTCCTATGAATGATGGTCCTTCAGAAAACTCATAACTGTCCGATAGTTATTGTTTCGAGTTATGAGTTAACGAGCATGGTGGAGCACAATTTGTATGAGTCATGTCAGCGATGAGTTATGAGAATGTGATATATACGAGGAATGACTGCATCATAATGCTGTCGAGTGATGCCGCGCAAAAGGATCTACTATTGATGCCAAGTTGTGAATAGGAAATAGCACATTGCACAGTCAAACGGAGTTGCTTGATTCGTGCCTGCCATTATCGGCTCTAAGTTGTGAAGCCTTTGCGAGGCTACAGCATTCAATCCTGAAGGTTGCTCGAGAAGTGATCAGATACTTCATCGCAATCCAGCAAATCAATCGAAGCAGATTCAGAAGAAAGAAGCATTATCGAAAGGAGAGGACACCAGGGCAATGCGACGTTGCTTCCTGCTTGTAATCTATAGTTACGTGTCACTATACTGAGACATTTTATTTGGTCTGGTCCTGGCGAATTGTTTATCTACGACTTTAAATGATCATTCTGTTTGACCACTGTTCCTGTCCGGTGCAGGCAAATGATTATTGTGCCGCGGATCGTGGCCATCCAAGCAAAAGCTGCTCAGAGCCTACATGAAGTCATCAAAAATGACGTTTGGCTTCCAGATGTACTCGAATACCATCGACGATACCTATTAATAGTCTGTTCGTTGTCTTGAAGCCACCCTTGATCCTTCATTCTATCATGCGTGAACGACTGGTGTACGCCTTGGTTGATTTCTTTTATTTTTACAATCTTGTGGTATGTGTTTATGTTTGATAACTTTGTATTTTTGCGTTTCTCAGCTTGTAGTATACATTTTATTTTTCGGACATTTTAGTATACTTTTTGTGCGCCCCGAACACAACATACCATCGCTTTAGTACTACTTACTCAGGTCTACCACCGATCCAAAGTTGTGCGAGACCTCAGCGCAAACGAGGCAAACATGACCATACGGGTGGCACGACTCCTTCCACGCTATCATGTTGGGATAAAAACCCACATCCTCGTTCCGCTACCGCACTTGTGGCGTCTTTTCTCCTCGCAGTCAACGAAGAAACCGCATAACCTGTTCGAAATCGACCTGAATCCACTGAAGGCGTCGATAGCGTCCGCCGAAAAGCCTACTTTGGATTACGCTAAACGTGCATTGGAATTGCAACCGACACAAGTACAGCGCAATCTTGATCTTTTGCATAACGGTAAGGAAACTTGTTACACAGGATAATATGTGTTAGAGAGGGGGGGGCTAATGACAACATGCACTACAAAAATGCAGAAATGTCGGAGCTCTTCGGAGAAGAGGTAGCTGAATCTAATGAAGAATGGTCGTCGCCACGTATGGACTCGACACCCTTACAGAATGGAAAGGAGATGTATGGACGCATGGTAGATCCCATGAGCGGAGATTTTGCTGGAGCTAAATCTGCTCCTGATATTTCGCGGAGAGAGCGGCCACCGATGATGGCTACAAGCTCTGTTCAGGATGCTTTCACTTCCACAAAAGCAGATTTCTACAGCAGGCCGGAAAGACGTCTACGTGACGGTTGCATCGAAAATGAAAAGGTAGATCTGCTATTGCTGCACGGTCCGTGCAGCTTCGTTCGGGATGTTTGGACTGGGTGCGTGCAAAGTGTAGCAGGCTTGAGTGTTCGGTAGGACTGCAGGTCTGACATCGTTTTTTTTCGTAGAGGTGACGTACCGAAGAAGGAACTGAAGCGCCATGTTCAAAAACTTGCTGACGATTTAAAAATTGTGGTAAAGATTCGTCACTATGATTCTGAAAAGGGAATTTTGAAAAAATTACTCGGAGCACATGAGGACCAAGTGATCGTGCTGTGCTGGAATAGTAAGTCAAAAGAGTACTCGATACGAGTAGATATCGCCCAATGATGCTATTTGTTTGTGCTCGCGGTCATTGTTGCAGCTTCGAGCTAATGACTGTGTCGCACTTTCGTAATTTGTGTGCCTTTCAGTTAGCTTGAGCAAGTCACCATTTATTGTTCGCGCACTCGAACTCATTCAGTCCAACACCATCATCTTGAGCCCAGGAAACGTAGAGCATGGACCATTACCGGCAACTGTCGTTGGTGTGTTATCTGGTAAGTTACTGCATCGATCTGTGATTGTGTATGTTGTCTCTAGCTACACGTGACATATCATCGAGTGCTTTATAACATGGACTGATCCATGCTTGCTTGTACTTGTCATGTTGGAGGCTTTCGAAATCAGTGCTTGTCGCTGGCGCTAAATGCTGCCGCGGACCTGTTGAAGTTGAATGCCGGAAAGGGACGAAAAGCTTGTTAAGATTTCAATTCCAAGCGATTTAGGGGCTCTCACGAGAACGCTTGCGTGAGCAAATAGTTATCTGGCGCGACAGGGAAGAAGGTAAAAATTTGTGCTGAAGGTGACCACTCCTTAAGCAAGCAAGCGACCCTTCTATAGTTCCGCGAGGGCATTGTGTCGCGAGACTTCCGTCGACAATGGTGATGAGGTCAAAAGGTTCAGACAAGGCTTTGTAAGGGAAAAGTATGCGATGTTATAGTTCAATGCCTATACACGAGTGGTGTAAAAGAGTGACTATCAAGAAATCAATCAGGCAACTAGCACTTTATCAATCCAGCAAATAGAACTGTTGCATTGCAAGCGGCTAACATCTTAAGAGCACATTCAGCAGTGAATACACCTTGGAGCGTCTCCAGCAGTCAGTATAACTTAACTTTCTATCGAACCAGAAAACTTTATTTTTTAATGAATTGTTAAATTCACGCCCACAAAATTACTCAATGGACGCCTTTTGAAAACTGTTAACAATTGTTGTTAAATGCACGCCGTTTGTCTAAAAAAAGTTTTACTTGGCGACGCTTGCGTATCAGGCGATAGTCTGTCGACAATCACATGGCGTGCGAACTCGTTGAACTAAACAGGTAGAAGCATCAATCTTACTCATCTTATAGCGGAAGTAACTGGTGAGAAGAAAACGGGTGCTATACCAACAAGAATAAGCCGACGAACAATAAAAAGGAGACAGTGTAAGACGCTGAGTTTAACGGGGTAGCCCGTTACATGATATTGACACCAAACGGTGTCAATAGGGATACTGTCTAGCGTGACAAGATTCTACCAATGTTATCCGAGATGGATGATATTGAAGGAATATTACCCCTTGTAGGATAATATTCACGTGCTGCTCGAAGATTGATTGATAAAAGACATATCAACCAAGGTTACCACCAATCGCCGCTGGACGCGCGTAATATGTGGTGAGCAGGTTGTCGTCATAAGCAACGTAAACTAGTATAGCTAGATAATGCCTAAGTTATAATGATTGCTTAACTATATAAATACAGTTCTCTTTTTGCCTTTTACTAAAACTAGCTGTTTAAGTAGATTAGCTTCCTCTGCACGAACGAGTGTACGTGGCGTTTCGTGGCACCCCAAGCAAAGAGTGCCCGTTGCATGCTTCCTTCTTCGGACGACGAATAGAATAGCCGTGAAGATCTGCTATCTGCTCCATTGAGTTAATTTATTGGTCATGGATATGCATGCATTGGCTATCAAACACTCAGAAGATGTGGAAATCGTACACCTTAATGTGACCGTGGCGGTCCAAACTTGCTGGAGAAAAAGAAAAAAAACACAGACAAAGAGTCGTCGTAAAGACTACTCATTTCTACTCTTTGTAGTTTTTCAAATAAATTAGAAATTGGAAGCTGAAGACAAAAGTCAGCAACCACAATCACGAACATCTACCAAACCCGTCCGGATATTCAATCCATAGAAATCTCACGGAAGTGCAGACAGAACTAGTCAAACATCTGGCGAGCGCTGGTGTCAATCCGGCTTAAATTCTGACAGCAATAATGACGACTGATGGAAGAAATCTTCGCAAACTTGTGCACTATGTACAACGCGAGGTTTTTGATGCGTGCCGAGAAGCTCACGGGAAGGTCTCCAGTGGATGCGTTACTTGAAAATCTTCATAAAAATTCTTGGAATATCATGTTGAAGCGAACGAGTCCAATATATAACAATGTGAGCCTGTCACATGTTACAAACACTAAAATACACGTTCCTTAGACCATCGTAAAGAAGGTTGGTAACGTTCGTGGATATTAACATCAGGGGTCATAAAATTAGAAGCACGCACCTATTGGCCGATGTGTGCCATCATATCAGTCAGCTCTAGCGGTCCAATCAGTGATCGATGCGAAAAATGAGTGGTGAGCAAGAGTTCAGCATACATTTTTGTCGACAAATGTATTCAAATTAAATTCAAAACATAAATTAAAAATAAGGACTTCAATACATTTGTGATACAGTTAAAATTATACCAGGAAATCTTCAGTTTCCTGTTGTCTTCCTTACTCTGCATAATTACAGATCTAGCCTTTCTCTTCACGTATGGTGTACATGATGTAGCGTGTGGCACTACCTTATACTGTGCGAGTGTAAGTTGACTCGTACTGTGCCAGTGTTAGCTGACTTGTACTGTGTCCGTACAAGTCACCAGCGCCCCGTTATACTTGGCAGCACTTTGTAGTCCGTCCAAGGACCACAACCCCCGGCATCATCATCAAAAATGAACATGCTAGCTAATGATAGTGAAAACTTTTGCGCCACGCGTAAAAACTAGTCCTTTTTGAGTGGCATCGAATGGAGTACGGTCGAACGACTGGGTTTGACCGTTGGCAAACGTGCCATCTGTGTCATCTGTGTCATGCGGTCCGCACTGGCATAGATGAGCAGCATGTAGCTGTCGCCATGTTCATTCACATGAACTTGACGAGTCAAGGGACCTAGTAGCCTTACTTCACAAGAAGGGTTCTCAACACGCTGGTCTGTTAAGAAAACAGGTGGCTCAAAAGCCATAACTGTTGAGACAATAGCAGGCGTATACTTCTGTTCCTGGGGCGTAGCACGCGCGTCGAACCAAAAATTTGAAATCGTACATCTCGATTACAGAGAAAACGAGAAATAATATCTCTTGTGTGGCTCTGTGGGCTGGACGACGCCATAAGGGCTTGTCACATCTTTGATGAGCAAGTGCAAGTTGCACTTATTCAGTCGATCTTGGCAGGACGTGTCAAACCTTGAACACTAGGTCTTACGTTGCACGATCCGTACGTGTTTAGATCAGTGGCAACCTTTAGACCCGGATCAGACAAATTATAAAACATCCACGGGCTGAGTTCAGGGGTCAATTAGAGATGTCGAAACTCAAGCAAGTTAAGTGTCATGTGCACGCTTACACCAAACAAGACTTCTTGCAAGTCTTATCACGGCCAACCTGGTCCGTCAGCAAACGTTGATTTCGTGTTTTAACAGAGCCTAACAAATGGACCCATTAGGAATTACCTGTATCGCATCGAGTCGAAGTCGCTTGAGCAAGCGATGACAACTGTATTGCAAGAGAAATTTATTGCCAGACATGCTCACACTAGTTTGATTCCATATCGTCCTTCAAGACGAGTAGAGGCGGGAAGTCCAGAACCAATAGACATGAGCAGTGAGAGAGCGAGAGACCTCTCGCTTTTACCGTAAGCGGATGCAAAGCGCAATCGTTTTCAGAATGAGGCCAGGGCGCTACGCTCACGAGTGTAGTGCTTTACGCCCGGCGTTCAATAACACTGAGAGGAGTGATTGACCTTCTGCCAAGAAGGGCAACGGATGCGGGTCCGACTCTGTATCGAAGCCTCAATATCGTGTTGAACCGTCAAGTACGGTTAAGGTCATCAGGGGCGGAGCGCTATACTGACCCAGCAACCTCAGGAGCTTGCAAATCTCTAAATGAAAGTTGCTTCAAGCTCACAATCCTTGTGTGTCTCTGAACTTGTTTAAGTGGCACCCCATGTCACCTTAACCTTAAAATTGGCACAAAAATTGTCACGTCGTGCCTTAGTTGACTGTGGGGGCTTCGAACAACTTTGTTCGTCGCCATTCACTAGAGGATCGTAGGCCCAAGCTAGATGTGCGCGACATCTCTCCAACGAGGATGATGGTGCGTCTAGCAACAGGCGCAACAATAGCAGTGATGAAACGTGTTGTGTGATTTTGCTACACGCTGATAATTTTGCAGCCCAACGGTAATTTTATTGTATTAGATTTCAACGACAAATTTGATGTCATTATAGGGTTGCCCTGGCTCGGAATATACGAGCAGAGGGTCAGCTAGCAAAATTGAGTCGTAAAGATGCCTGCCACTTGTGCATCAGATGGACATCTGATAGACGTCTTGGAGAATCCACAAGCGTGTGTGTTTCCTTTAAGGAAGTGCGATGGCCTCACTGGCAATAAGGTTGTTTGTACGACCGCAAAAGATCACAGTGTGACAACTAATCACATTGTGGGTGAAGCTGCCGGCGTCTGCGCGGGTGCAAAGGCTGCGCAAACTTTTTGCCCCTCGAACAAATTGAGTGGATTGGGACATGGGTGTGCACCTAGCGGGCTACATTGAAGTAATAACAAACTAGTCGCCCACACCAGGCAGCATGATGATCATAGGTCGACCGGAGAGCTGACCGTAGAGGACCTAATTATGGTAGCGCAACCACAGCTAGAAAGAATCGAGGGAATAAGCCTTCATTTACTCGAGGGAGAACTTCCTCAGGCAGATATTGAAGAAATCAAAAGACCTCATCATCTTGAGAAAATGCGTCCCCATAAGCCTGTCAACATAGTTTTCCAGGAAGAGACCGAGACATTGAATGTCTTGGTTAAAGACAGGTCAAGTGAATGCCTTATACACTTGATCTGATATAGCCTCCGAAGTTGACTTCGGAGATAACACCATTGTCAGCTCTAGTACAAAAGGACTCGATCTAATTCAAGAACGTGCTCCTCGAATCCGTGCCGTGCGGGTTGCTAAGGATGAAGGCACTCAAAATGAAAACAAGCTCAAACCGAAGTATTAGCACTATTTCATCAAGGAATGACACTAACTCATTAACAATTACTTGCGATCGACAATTTTTTGCCGATTGCTTATATGCGAGTCATATGAGGGAGTCGAATTGCCCATTTATTACTTCTGCCTTCTGTGTGCGCAAGGCCACGACAAAATGGTAGATGTCGCATGCATTCAAAAAATGTGTATGCTGAAACGGTACTGGTGCAGACGCTAATGACGAGGAAGGACGTCATCATATATGAACACTTAAAAAGTACCATCTATTCGTCCATGGACCTGATGAATGGATTCAGTCAGATCCTAATGAGTGGACGATACATCCCGTTCAAATCGATGAGCACCCCAAGCGGTATGATCTGGGAATGGCGGGTTATGTCACAAGGTCTTGGTAATGTCC